TCGCTTACGCTTATATTCGCTTACGCTTATATTCGCTTACGCTTATATTCGCTTACGCTTATATTCGCTTACGCTTATATTCGCTTACGCTTATATTCGCTTACGCTTATATTCGCTTACGCTTATATTCGCTTACGCTTATATTCGCTTACGCTTATATTCGCTTACGCTTATATTCGCTTACGCTTATATTCGCTTACGCTTATATTCGCTTACGCTTATATTCGCTTACGCTTATATTCGCTTACGCTTATATTCGCTTACGCTTATATTCGCTTACGCTTATATTCGCTTACGCTTATATTCGCTTACGCTTATATTCGCTTACGCTTATATTCGCTTACGCTTATATTCGCTTACGCTTATATTCGCTTACGCTTATATTCGCTTACGCTTATATTCGCTTACGCTTATATTCGCTTACGCTTATATTCGCTTACGCTTATATTCGCTTACGCTTATATTCGCTTACGCTTATATTCGCTTACGCTTATATTCGCTTACGCTTATATTCGCTTACGCTTATATTCGCTTACGCTTATATTCGCTTACGCTTATATTCGCTTACGCTTATATTCGCTTACGCTTATATTCGCTTACGCTTATATTCGCTTACGCTTATATTCGCTTACGCTTATATTCGCTTACGCTTATATTCGCTTACGCTTATATTCGCTTACGCTTATATTCGCTTACGCTTATATTCGCTTACGCTTATATTCGCTTACGCTTATATTCGCTTACGCTTATATTCGCTTACGCTTATATTCGCTTACGCTTATATTCGCTTACGCTTATATTCGCTTACGCTTATATTCGCTTACGCTTATATTCGCTTACGCTTATATTCGCTTACGCTTATATTCGCTTACGCTTATATTCGCTTACGCTTATATTCGCTTACGCTTATATTCGCTTACGCTTATATTCGCTTACGCTTATATTCGCTTACGCTTATATTCGCTTACGCTTATATTCGCTTACGCTTATATTCGCTTACGCTTATATTCGCTTACGCTTATATTCGCTTACGCTTATATTCGCTTACGCTTATATTCGCTTACGCTTATATTCGCTTACGCTTATATTCGCTTACGCTTATATTCGCTTACGCTTATATTCGCTTACGCTTATATTCGCTTACGCTTATATTCGCTTACGCTTATATTCGCTTACGCTTATATTCGCTTACGCTTATATTCGCTTACGCTTATATTCGCTTACGCTTATATTCGCTTACGCTTATATTCGCTTACGCTTATATTCGCTTACGCTTATATTCGCTTACGCTTATATTCGCTTACGCTTATATTCGCTTACGCTTATATTCGCTTACGCTTATATTCGCTTACGCTTATATTCGCTTACGCTTATATTCGCTTACGCTTATATTCGCTTACGCTTATATTCGCTTACGCTTATATTCGCTTACGCTTATATTCGCTTACGCTTATATTCGCTTACGCTTATATTCGCTTACGCTTATATTCGCTTACGCTTATATTCGCTTACGCTTATATTCGCTTACGCTTATATTCGCTTACGCTTATATTCGCTTACGCTTATATTCGCTTACGCTTATATTCGCTTACGCTTATATTCGCTTACGCTTATATTCGCTTACGCTTATATTCGCTTACGCTTATATTCGCTTACGCTTATATTCGCTTACGCTTATATTCGCTTACGCTTATATTCGCTTACGCTTTATATTCGCTTACGCTTATATTCGCTTACGCTTATATCGCTCGCTTATTCGCTTCGCTTATATTCGCTTACGCTTATATTCGCTTACGCTTATATTCGCTTCGCTTATAGTCGCTTCGCTTATAGTCGCTTCGCTTATATTCGCTTCGCCTATAGTCGCTTCGCTTATAGTCGCTTCGCTTATAGTCGCTTCGCTTATAGTCGCTTCGCTTATAGTCGCTTCGCTTATAGTCGCTTCGCTTATAGTCGCTTCGCTTATAGTCGCTTCGCTTATAGTCGCTTCGCTTATAGTCGCTTCGCTTATAGTCGCTTCGCTTATAGTCGCTTCGCTTATAGTCGCTTCGCTTATAGTCGCTTCGCTTATAGTCGCTTCGCTTATAGTCGCTTCGCTTATAGTCGCTTCGCTTATAGTCGCTTCGCTTATAGTCGCTTCGCTTATAGTCGCTTCGCTTATAGTCGCTTCGCTTATAGTCGCTTCGCTTATAGTCGCTTCGCTTATAGTCGCTTCGCTTATAGTCGCTTCGCTTATAGTCGCTTCGCTTATAGTCGCTTCGCTTATATTCGCTTCGCTTATATTCGCTTCGCTTATATGTCGCTTCGCTTATATGTCGCTTCGCTTATATGTCGCTTGCGGCTTATAGTCGCTTCGCTTATAGTCGCTTCGCTTATATCCTTCGCTTATATTCGCTCGCTTATATTCGCTTCGCTCGCTTATATTCGCTTCGCTCGCTTATATTCGCTTCGCTCGCTTATATTCGCTTCGCTTATATTCGCTTCGCTTATATTCGCTTCGCTTATAGATGGTATATCATCGGTGTACAATTTAAACATAGGGTTCTAATGTAGGTTAACAAGAATATGAAAAGTAAAATTTATTACTCTTATAGTGAAAAATATGTAATATATTAATTAAAAACAATAAATTTAAACAAATCATAATTATTATTCAATTAAAAATAATGAAAAAAAGAAAGGGTAAATCATGTCTAAAAATTTTTTTATGAATCAAGTTTAAAAAATTTTTCAATTTAAAAAATATTATTGCTTATCAGAATATAAATTTCTCTGAGAATTATCAAGAGAGATTTTTAATTAACTGCCTATTTGAATTACATTAATGTTTACACAGATAATATCAAATTTCTGTCACTTCTAACTTAAATGCATACTACAAATCATCGTCTACTATTTCAAGATCCATTCAAATATAGAAAATATTGGAATAAAGAAAAAATCGACATAGTTAATAAAATGTTGTCCCTACCGAAAAACAACAAATGAAAGTTAAAATCGCTAAATAATATAGGAATGTCTAGAGCGTCCTTCATAAATTTAGAATAAATATATTTCCAGAAATAAATGGAGATCCTCTAAAAGAATACACTATTCAAAATAGTGGAAGTAAGAAAAAAAAATTCACCTATCATTGATATCAATGACAAATAATATGTTTACGATACAAGACATTATTGAAAATTTACCACCTGGTAGTCCCAAAAATAAGGCAACTATAAAAAAAAATATATAAAATATTGGCTGGTCGAATAAAAGAGGCAAAGAGTATGGCAGAAGAATACGCCTGGGGATATAAATATTCGTCAAATTTACTGTTTAAAATTAAATATCCCAAAAAAGTTCTGACAAAAAAATATGAGTTTTAAAAAAAGGTTAATTACAATTTTTTCTTGAGAATTCTAAGAGAAATTTATATTTTGAAAATCAATTTTAATTTTTTTTAAAAGAAATTTAAAAATTAATTTTTTACGTAAAATATATTTTATAAATAAACAAAATATTATATAATAAATATGCTTTGTTAATATTTTGTTTGTTTTTAATTTAGTTAGAGTAAGATTAAGGGTAATAAGAATTAGTGATCTGCATTGGGCCTAATTTTTCAAGCCCGGCCCGGCCCGAAATTTTTTTTATATAAGTTTTGCCGACCCGGCCCGAACCCGAATTTTTTTAAAAAGTTTTGCCGGCCCGGCCCGAACCCGAAATTATTATTTAAAAAAATCGGCCCGGCCCGGACTGAATTTATTTAAATATAGAAATTAATTTTTATAATTACTCAAAATAAAAGACATATGATGTCGTTTAGTTTCAATAAATAAAATCAAATATTTTTATTTTACATAAAAAATTCAATATAAAATTGATAAATTTAGATATATTTCAAAAAAATTTCCAAGGTCCGACCCGACCTGGCCCAAATTTTTTTTAAAAATGTCCGGGCCGGGTACGGGCCTGGCCTAACATTGCAGATCTCTAATAAGAATCATTATGCATTGTAATTGTAAGGAATAAATTGTTCGATCCAAAAAATTAAATGTTTTCTACAAAAAAATAAGATTATTAAAATATTGAAAATAGGAAATGGGTAAAAATAAATAAAAGGTCCCACAAAATGTGATTTCGAAAATTTTAGAATTATATAATTTTCGAAATAAGAAAGATTTGATTAAATAAATGAAAATACTATTATTTGATTAACAAATTGTAACTTATTATTTTTATACGAATAATTCACTTTAGTCCTTAATTTTGCTAGTCATTTTAATATGTCTCATCAATATCAACACCCTTATATCTCAGTCTCAAACAACAAACCATGATTTAACATTGTTATTTGTGACTTTGAAATATTTAATAAACTATTAACCTGTTTAGTTTTTGGAATTGCTTTATAATTTTTTTGGTAAATTTTTTTTTTAATTAGCTCATAAAATTGATATTGCCAATAAATTTTCTTATATTTGAAGCTATTACACTATGCCAATTATCACTTAAATAATAAAAATTGTGAGATTAGGATAACCATCCCATTTATATTTGAACTTAAAAATTTTATTTATATAATTAAGAATAGGATTTTCAATTCCTTTTTAGGTAGAAGGGAAACTATCGAATTTGCATCAGAAGCTTATAATAAAAAAAATATTTATCACGAAGATTAAATTTTGTCCTTGGCTAATTTAGCCAGTTACCATATGTTTGAAAAATATTATTTTAAAAAAAATTGATTTAAAAACGTATTTTTAATTTAATTCCAAGTATCTTAAAATAAATTTTTTTGTTTTAATTAAAAATGGTGATTTATAATTTGTAAAAATAATGCCTCTTTAAATATATTTAATTTATTTATATATAATCCGAAAAAGAATTTAACCTCTTTGAATATTAAAAATTTCTTAATGGATAATTATTATGTTTATTAAAATATTAATAAACTTTATTGTCATAATAAAAATTTTTAATAAAAATAAGATTGAATAAGTATATATCATCGGTTATTTAGAGGATTTATAATTAAAATCTGGCAATTAAGTGCTATCTTGAATAGGTATAATAACAAATTTAAAATTACATTTCTTCAGCGCATTCAAAAAATACGACAATAATAATCATTGATATTGAAATATGATAAAATAATGATTTAAAATGACAAATTTTATCTTTTTTTTTCAATTAATGTGAGGAAGTGGGTTTGTATTTTTGGAAAAATAAATTAAATTTTAAATTTAGCAAATAAAATTAGGTACTATATATATTTTTTAACATTTTTGACAAAACACCTCATTTTCTCTATAATTGAAAGCTTGATCTTTCAAAGGATCTGAACAATTGTGGCATTTAAAGCAATCACTGTGCCAGCTGTTATCTTCGTATGTAACGTATTGGGTACCAGCTATTTTTTTAATTAATAATTAAATTTATAAGTGTGAAAAATTAGTCAGCAAATGGGTTATATTAATTAAAGATCGCCAATTAAAATATTAATCCTGATTGAAGTCCAATAGTTGGTACAAATTTATTTATGAATAATGCAGTTTAAATGGTAACGTAAAAAAATTGATTGGTAAACGTTTTTTTACCATAAAAAACAATACATACAAAAAAAACTTCAATTAAAACAACGAGACGTTTTATAGAAGTAAATTGAACGCTAAGCGCTACCTCAATTTTGAGATATAAACTATCAAATATATAAATATAAAAATAATAGTTATACCGGATATAGGTTTCACACATTTCTTGCATTTTTTGGCAAAATTTTTGTCGAAACATTCTATGCAATATTTTTTGTCTTCGTAATTAACAATAGTCTTGCCACCTAACGATTGTTTGCAAGAATTGCATACTATACAGTCCTTGTGGTAAAATTCATCTTTACCTTTAAGCATGGGGCCGGTTATTTTCTATATTATTATAATTTAGATTTAAAAAGTGAAAAAATTAATGCTAGAATTTATATAAAATTTACCACTTTTTTGAAAAACTAATTTCAAAAAAAAAAATCAAAAATTGGGTAATAAACGAATTTCCCCAAAATAAATAAAATAGCATTTCCGGACCGATGGAAATCGGGTGATTAAAAAATACAATAAATTATTGAAAATAAATTACTTCGTTGCAAATGGCACACTTCTGAGCAATTTTATTTTCATAGCAATTCGTGCATATGTACTCGCTATTAAATATATAACATTTTCCTTGGCCTATTTTTTGGGAACATTTCGCGCATTTAAAGCAATCATCATGGTAAGCGTGACCTTGAATGTCCACTTTCCTTTGACCTAAATAATTATGAGTTGAAATTTATTTTTTGCAAAATGATTCATAAACAGATTTAACAATATTAAGATTTTCATAATACGATTATCTAAAAATAAGAATGTTTGAGTTCTTATTATATTAATCTATAAATTAACACCCTTATTTAAAATAGTGCGAAAACTAATGAACGTTGCCTTTCCCCATAGTTTTAAATGCATTATACACGACATCAAAATATAGTTCATACTGCTGATGGTATCCATGTAGATAGAATATTTATTTATTTGTAAATATAACTCGCAAAATTTAAAACGATTAATAAATTAACGTAATTTTTTTTTATATAAATTATCAAATATCTTGTTTTATTATTTTAAATGTTTTAACAAATGCATGTAGCAATAACACAGCACAGTTGTGAAGTGATAAAAATAATAACTCATTTTATTTATTAAATAAATAGTTATAATGTCCAAATAATATTGCTTAAAATTTTTGGATCCTATTCTAACCGATTTCTTTCGTCCAATAAAACAGCCGCTTTTCTACACCCCTTAAGCCAACGACGATATTATCCTCCTAACCCCCTGCAAGCAAAATAAGAAAATTAAAATTAACAAAAAAATTTAGTATATTCCAATACACCCTCCCCCACCCACTCCTATTTTATTAAAAGTATAGCGTCTTCCCAACTCCCTACCTCCATCCCATTTCTATGACAATCATATATCCCCCCACCCCACCGAGATAAAATGCTTACATACAAATACAACTGAATTATATGTTCTGGAGAACCAACTTAGAGTATCTAACTAACTTACTAATTGGCGTAACGAAGATAGGGCGGGGAGCGGCAGAAAATTGATAGTTTTCGTAAATATTATTTTAAGCTAGTAAAAAATTCCCCTAGACTCCTCTTCCATCCACCTGCAATGAACACACTATGTCATTATAGATAAGCAATATTTAAAAAAAATAAGTTAAGTTAATAATTTTTTAAAAAAAGAATATAATTAAAGTTGTTGAGCTTATAATTTTTTTTGATAAAAGGTGCAAAACCCAAATTATTATATTTTAAATGTAATCCGGCCAAATGAGGGGGCCCAACTATACAATAAAATGTATTATGGAAAAAGTTTTTCCCCTTATGTAAATCAAATACGCCTCTGATTCTAATTGATTTTAACCTAAAAACTATCTATCTAATCCATTTTTATATGAATATAAGATATAACCATAGCAAACAATTTATTTGGAAAGTATAAATTTACCTTAGTCATATTTATAGACCATAAATTAATTACACCTTTATTTTATCATATTTAATATTTTAAATTTGCAATTGCATAGCAATATAAATTACGTTGAATTGTAGTGTCCATTAAATATTACCGCGCAAGAATATTTTAACAATGATAAAGGATTCACAAAACTTTAGCGCTTATGTCGCGTGTAATTAAATATCAAATAGTAGTTAGAACCCTGATCGAAGTTTTCTAGTTTTTTAAAATTCGGACTAGTACTACATTAGAGAAAATAATTTCAAAGTAACACGTCAAGATTTACCACCTCTTACTCAAAAAATAAATAATTAATCCCTATCCCATTAGAAGACTACCCCTTCTTCCTGTAAAATGCAGAAAATTTCTCCACCCCCGTTATTGTAGATATTGGAGTAGGATAAAAAAAATAATGCATTACCGCAAAAAGAATATAGCGAATGCATTACCATGAAAACATTATCGCGAATATAATTGAGCGAAAATCCGTGAATGCATTATACCGCTAATACCGCATAATAATGCATATACATTATGGCGAGTGTATTATCACGAATGCAATAGTCATTTATATTTAACAAAAAATAACTTAAGGCCCTCATTTATTTTTATTTATTCTAAAATGGGCTAGCATGTTCCTATTATGCTGATCTATATATGGACGCTTGCATTTTTCTCAAAGTTTTTTAAAACACAAAGTATACTTCGAGATCTTTAGAAGAAAGAATAAATATATTTAATGTAATACGTTAACTTATCCTTCTTGTATGACACTTAACAATCAATGCCAATTTCATTATTCTTGCAAAATTAAGGGCCATATTTCGCCTATTTTTTTCAAGTTTGTTAGATTCAAAAGGTGTAGCCTATTATATGATAATTTTTCGGTATATGAAACGGGTATTTTGAGGTCTCTTTAAAGCTCATTAAACTGAACGAATATTCCACTTTATCCTAGGGAATTCAGGATTCAAACTTGGTCCATTCCCTTTTTTCTTCTCATGGCATAATTTTATCATCATAGATTTTCTTTTGACAATGTTTAATTTACAAAATTATAGCATGGGTTTTTATATTGCTAATAACGCCCATTAAAAATAAAAAAAATTTTTAAACCGAAACATTTTGTATTATAATTTATGATTTAGGAGAATTTTTACAAAGGCTCCGGCAAGCCTTTTTATATCCCTCACCGGTAAATAATCGTTAATAAATTATTGGTCAACTTTCGCCATAATGTTTCAAAGGTACTGCATACGCGGTATTAATTTCGCGATATATTCACGGTAATGCTTTCGCTATAATAAAATTTCGCGATATTCGAAATTCCCAGTATCATTATAATACATTCGCGCCAAATTTTCATGGTATGACATGTAACCATACATAATATAGCATTATACAAATTCAAATTCGATAACAAAAAAATTTTTTTTCTTTAATATATAAATTAATGTTCACCTGCTTTAAATGACTGATTACATTTGACGCACTGTCCACCTTCTTCGCAAACCTGTTTGTTGGCGCACTCATGGCAATATATTTTTCCTTCTTTGTTGACTACATCACTGTTAGTAATTTCTTTGCTACACAGAGAACAATTGGGCTGAAATGTGAAATAAAAGCATAATATGAGTGTTCAAGTCATTAGTATGACATAACCATGGAAGGGAGAGAAGGGGATAAGCAGCAAATTTAGCCAACCGTTGTAAATTCAAATATCTTTTTAAGCAAATATCACCCACCCCCCCCCCAAACCTTCAAACGATATAACCTTTTTAAATTAGTTGTTAATAAAAAAATTTGTCAAGCTTATAAACTCTAAATAGTACCAAATCAATATTATGTTGGTAAGTGTAATCCGGCCAAAGTCCAGTAAAAAGCTAGCCTATTCACCTTCCCCCGCATAAATTTTCCTGGTAAACGGTTATTATTTAAACATTTTGCAAAATAAGAGTCCGTATCAAATAGAAACAAAATAAATGATGAACATTTTTCAAATGTTATCCTTGATATGATGGGTAAATTTAAATTGATAAAATAACGATTTGTATTTTAGGAAATAAAAATTTATGAAAAATATCTAATCATTTAATATAAAAAAAGCACTCATATGCAAATAAAAATTTACAAGACCGGGCAGGTAAACATTTAAATTAGTAAAGACAAAATTTCATATCTCTTTTTAAAAAAGAAAATATGTATTGTTGTGTAAGAAGAAAAAAATAAATTGTTTTAGAATCATTTTAAAATAAAAAATAATGATATTATGAGGCATGATTTAATTAATTTTAATTAATTCCTCTTTTAAAAATAGAGCAATCATATCATAAGAGATACAACACAGAACATACATAAGGTTTTGGATAACAATATTATATTGATATTTCGTAATTTTGTTTCTTATATAGTATTATTATTTTTTCAGAAATAGCCATTATATATTTTAGGTAAGGTGTAGAAGAAGCCAGGATGAAGAGGCGAATGATCATGCTCCTTTAAATTTGTCGCCTCGTGAGGATCTTATCATGGCGCCGATTTTTTAAAAAAATCTTCAGAATCAAGTTAACTAGTTATATAAATGGTTCCGGAAATATATGTAAAAACTAAAAAGAATCCCCCATAAATTTGAAGTATTTTCTAGGTTAAAATGATTTCAAAAATTATGGCAAACACCCCAGCAACGCGAGTAAGCTCCGACCATTTTTAAAAATGACAGAGCCTCCTAGGATCCCAAGGGACCTATTAAAATATGAAATTTTCATTATCACTTACTTAATTTATTTAAATATAAAATACTAGTATCATGATTTGAATCGGAGATCGGACGCATCTTAGTAAATTATATAGCAAATAATACTAAATTTAAATTAAAACCTCCTTTTTAGACCAATTAAGCTTTGTTTTCAGGTATATATCAATATAAAGAAAGTAGATAATGTCCTGCAAGATATTGCAATTATCAAATCCTTCTTAAGATTCCATGAAATCTTAAAACAAGATTTGGTATCAATCAGAGAATTAAAGGCTTTAGATTTAAAAAATTGGAAATTTATATAAAAAATGTAGAGGGAGAGAATACGACGCAGACGCTATATGAGTTTATTATTATAATCTAAACAAGGATTAAAGGAATTACACCAATGCCCAATTTATACATTAACACAATTTGAAATTTGTCCTGATGCTACTTCAAACATTAACGAATTCAGAAATTTATAATTATTCATATAAATATTCACATTTTTTGTAAATATAACAATGTAAAACTAGAATAGGCTAAATTAAATAATGTGAACCTTAGAGAGTCTAACAATTTTAAAACATATCAAAAAATTAATGCCAATCAGGTTATCCATATATGATTCAATATAATCCATAAGCTATCATATTTCAATTTAAAAAAAAAATTATCAACTGTGACATTACCCAATCAGAAATGAGAAGAAACGATTTCCTTAAAAAATAAAATGGAATCTTTATTTTGATGTGTGAATTATTCAGGAACAACGCTGTACCAAAATATTTTTTAAGCATTTAAAAAGGAAGCGTAATAATTATCCATAAATAACCCTTCATTCACACGGTAAATTATATATATCAAATATATGCGAATTCGCGACGAAGTATATAAAATATGCAAGAATTCGCGGAGAAGTACAATTTATATACTTCGTCATAAATTTGCGCTAACTGTAAGTGCAGGGTAGGGGTGTGTATTGTTATTGTAAAAACATTAAAAGTATTTTCAATATGTTTCAGCAAATCATTTTTCCGGTTGATTATTAATTATATCAATAGATGCAATGTAAACATCAACCCTATAAAATATTCATCTTGGTCATTCGATCTTTCATCTGGACATTAAAGTTTTGACAAAATTACTACTTTTGGAACTCTTCCCATTTAACGGGGGTTGGGGCGAGATCCTATTACACTTCTGCACCCGTCGTATATCTTGTCGACTGGCTAATCCATCTATATTAACATTTTTCACCTTTTTTTAGGGTGAGATTATATGATTTATACATAAAAGTTTATTATTGAGGTTAAATAATCATGTTTAAATACTATTTTTTTTTATTTAAAAAACATTGCATTTACGCAAACATATTTAGCGCTGTATAAAAAATTATTGAACCGATCGAAGAAAATCATATCAGCTGTTATCAAAAAAAAAATTGATTTCCAAAATTATTGAATCTTTTTTCTCTCTCTCTTTAGTACGTTTAAAATTATGAAAAATACAACAAACAAGATAATATTGTATTCAATTAGTAATTATATAATTATAATTATTTTAGTAATTATAAATAAAATAATTATTTTATTTCATACAATCGAGACCTATAGTTGAGTTAGGTTAGAAAAAGATAATGTATATATTATATACAATATAATATGAATAATAGAGCAAAGTCATGATTTAGCCAGAGGGAGTTTTTTCTTTTACCTATATATGTTATCTTTCAAAAAATTTAAACAGTTTATTTTATAGTAAATAAGATGAAAAATTTCATATTTAATTCGATTATATAATTATATAAAAGAAAATTAAAAACTATTATATAAAAACGGGCGAATTTTCTCAAAATTATTGATATTTTTCTTTTAAAAATAGGCTCCTATCCATAAATTCACTGATATTTACCACTATATTTAAAAAAAAACGTAAATTTTCATTTGACAAGTCAAAGTGAGGGAAATGAGTGAAAATTTTTTTAAATTGTATATTCATTTCATATCACCTTCTGTAATCATTCTTTAATACGTTAAAGTAATAGGGTTCATTTATTTTTTTTAAATGAAATTCTTAAATAAGTATCTGAATTAGGTAATATTGATTTAATATTATTACAATATATAAACAATGTGTAATAAATTACTAAATTAGGTAATATTAAGTATAATTTGTATAATATTTATCTGAGACCTGCAGACCTAGCCCTAAGCATTATAATTTTTTTAAATATATCCGTGTATAAAAAATTGTTTTTAAAAATACACGAGCAGTGCAGGATCGAATATTTTAAAACCAAATATTTTTAAATCGCAATTATTAACAATAAAAATTAAAAATAAATAAAATATATTTTAAAAAATTCCGCTCCGACCTGAAAATATACCGAGTAGCCGAAAATACTTTTTAAAAAAAATCAAGGCCGGGTGGAAATTTTTTTGTTTAATCCAGGCCGAGCCGGGTCGTGAAAATAATAACTTTGCAGGTCTCTGATATTTATACTTATTTGTTAAATTATAAATTTAAATATTTGAAAAGGCGTAAAATGGTGCAAATTTAGTGGGGTGGGGGTGTCTTCAAGAGATAGTTTCCCCTTTCTAATGTATCCAGTAATTAAAGTCTTAGGTACAATTAATAATTTTGTTGTTTGTTTCATCAATATCAACAAGATATAATTTTTCGGGAAAGGAAGAAAAGAGACGCATGTGAACCTCTAAATCAAATATTATACATTAAAACCGATATATTGAAATCGCATCTGAATCTGACAAAAAAATTATAATTGAAAATATTAAAATAATATTGGAAAAGTTTTGTCTAGCTAATCAGATCCAGATGTATTATCAAATCAAAGTAATAATATTTATGGACTAAAGCCAAAGCTTTAATATTAATTTGTGAAAATAAGTGATGACAGAAAAAAAAATGAAAACATTCAATATTCAAATCAAATTTTAACAATTGGACTAAAGCGAAATTTTTGATTTCAATTTTAATTATGGGGATTTAAAGTAAATTTTTTTCTCAATATTGGCTAAATATAAATAAACCCATATGAATAAAATAAATAAGAAGGTCAGAGGAGAATGACCAAAAAAATTGCCTATTAAAAATATCGCATTATAATATAATAAAATAAATTATTTTACCATTATTGTCAAAGTTTTTTTGTATCCGTCTTTTAAAGTAAGCCTCCAGATATTTTTTTTGTCAAATAATTTTTAAAAAAATTCCTAAAAAAATTTAAATTTTATTGGGTAAACTAACTAAATTTTTTAAAATAATAATATTATTTTATTTAAAAAAAAAAAAATTAATTGTATGCAAATTATTTGTTTTGAGAGAAAGAGAATGTATATTATATAAAGCATATGTGCTGCATTTTTTTTTGTTTTATCTAAAAATATTAAAATTTAATATAATAATTGGTTCGAAAAGAAACACACTGAAAATAAAATACATGAGAATGTTATTTTTAAGGTACTGATTGTGATTTGTAAATCAATATTAATAACATCGGAACAAATAATTTTTTCGAATTTTTTACCATGCCCATTACTAATAGTTATCAGTGGCACCTGTTTGTTAAGCAGGCATGCCCGAAAGAAATAAAGAAAGAAAGAAAGAAAGAGAAAAAAAAGAAATGAGGGAGAAGGAGGATAAAATGTTTTTTATAATATGGTAATTTTTTGTAAAAAAATTTCACAAAATGCATTAGGTCTTTTAAAGTGTTGCTTTTGTTATTTATGTTATTTGCACATTTTAAATATTTTGCTTTAAGCATAATTTGGTGCTTTTTGCAAATTTTGCGTCATTTTACGTTTTGTAAAATTTTAGAGTGGTTCAAGCATCTTATTATCCGCTTACCTGTATTGCGTTATCGAATGCCTTTTGGGTCAATTTGCATGCTCATTGTATATAATGTTAATTTTAGTCGATTTTTATGGCAAGATTTAAGCCGAATACTTTTGGCTTATACCAAGGTTAAAAAAAAATATCGGCCTAAACCTCAAGGTAAGTCATAAAAATCGGCTTAAATCTTGATGCACCTAATCCTCTAAAATATTCTTGACTCAAACTCTAGGTTCAAGCTGAAAAAATTAAATTATACTTAATTCAAGTCAGTATTTCACCTCAAAACATATCTAAGCCGTTTTGAGGTCGAATTATTTATAAATTTTTAAACCCGTTTACTTACGGTTAATCCACCTCCACGGGGAATTATAGCAATTTATTCCCTACTTTCGTTCCTCTTCGGACTCCCTGAGTAGACATACTTAGCTTGACTTTAATATTCGCGTCGCCATTCAATTGATGTAAATCACTATAAATAATTCTATATTTCAATTTCAAATTGGGACGATGATAAAGTTTATAATATTGCAAAATCTTATTTATTATAATTCTACTACTATCTACTTTTGAATTGAAACGTATTCTCCTTCATTCATTAATATCTAATGTCACCTCTATCTCCAGTCTCAGCAATCTCAGATCCTTCATAATTTTCTTCCCGTTTTTTGAAATAATATTGTGATCATTCTAGATTTTCAAATAACTGTATTAGGTTCTACCAAAATTTTATGGTTTAAGATGATCTTTCTTGGACATACTAGATTTATCTGAGTATATTTTTCGTTACATTGAATCAAAACCTGACCCATACAAAAAAACGCCTGTCTCACAACTATAATGTTCAGCTTGGACTTCAATTTTAGTCGCAGCTTAATTAGCTAAATTATACTCATTTCCTCATTTCTTCCAAATAATCTTTGCTCTTACCCAACTCATGATTCACAATGCAAAAAAAATCCAGATATACATAAACGCTTCCAATTTCAAGTCGCATAATCTCAAATCCATTTTTCTTACTCAACCGGATTCAAATACGTGTATGCTTTCTTTCGACTAATTTTCCCTCTGTATTTTTATTAATTTTCTCTCTATATTTTTACATGCATCTCATAAGAAGCTAATCACGCATTTACTTCTGCCTTTGTCTTACTAAAGAAAATGGTAAAAATCGTATACTATTTAATCTCTAATCCCAACATCATCTGAGTTATAGTATCCAATACCAAAAACATTATCAGTTATCACCTTCAAATGCCTTTTTAATACGTCTTCTTGCCTCAAAAAAATTAAAAAAATTCCTCTAGTACCCTATATTTCACCTCTAAATCAATTAACACCTGGTAAAGCCTATATGTTTCTTATGGACCTTTCTGCCAAAGTTCTAATCACAAACACTGCATCAATTATAGATTTTTCCACTCTAAATCAATATATCACTGATTGTTATTAACATCTCATGATATCCTTTACCTTTTCCACACTTTAATCACAGTAAAAAATAACCCAACTTCTTTATTCCTAATTATCACGATGCCTTTGCCCTTAAAATTGTTAGCGTTTTGTGCAATGCCTCATTAACTCCTTGTTCGTTACATCCTTAACCTAACTAGTAATCACATCTACTATTTTTTTTATCCTCTTTTCTATTATTGCTTTTTAGAGTGAAAAGGTAAGGTTCATTTCTCCTAATTTTATTCCTGACCTTACAAATCATTATTGTTTCCCTTAAATACCTGGCAATATAATTATCGTGTTTTGAATATTTAATTTAATAAGCAAATTATAAAACGATAGAGCGTGAATTTTAAAATTTATTTAAATGATTATATAACCTATATATTTTCGTTTAGAATCTGATGTGAGTTCAATATGTATAATCTAAACTAAATTGTTTTGCACTTTTTAGATTATTGATAATGAGGGAACCAACCCATCAACAATCAAAATAAATTATAATTAACTACCAAGTGTCATGGGTATATAGGAGGAGGTTTTATTTGAGCCCCTCAGGCTAGATAGGGTTGTTTAGGCTAACGTGGTTACATGCAATATCTAATAAGGTACTACTCCTACTTTAGAAGCAAAAACACGTAATGGTATTCTCGATGCTTGTAAATAAACAAAGACCTTACTTCTCAAGTGCCAACCTCTACAAAAGACAAAAAGAAAGGTAAGATTAATGAACATTTTATTTATTTAAATTGGAGACAAATTATAAGTTAAAGTGTCTGTGGTACACAATAAATAGGTATCTCCAAAAGTAAAGGTTAAGTTACAAGAAATTATATCACGTTGAAACAAAAAATAAAAGATGCAAAGGTTCTTGTGAAACGATGAAAGAAGAAATTTCGAAAATAACCATATATGTCATAGGATATTATATGAATTTAGAATCCATTCAAAAATTTAAATAATTTACTTACACATTTTTTAATTCTTAAAAACTGGATTTTACCGGAATTTCATTCCAATGAGTATAGTACCTTCTAGACGCACGAAGCGGTCGAAGCCACGTCCGTGGGCTCGATAAAACAGGTCGGATAACTTGTGTAAAATAGTTTTACGGGCCGGACCGTTATTTCACAATTTTTTGTGGCTAATTTGTGTTTTCACTTCATAAATAATATCTATAGGCCTACCAACGCGACCTCTAGTACACTTACTAGACTTATTCAAAAACGAATACAAATAAAAAAATATATAAAAAAAAGATTAAATTTTTTGTATTCGATTCTTTTGAACGAATTGAATAATTTACTCATCGTAATTCTACCAATCGAATAAGAATAATATATTTAAGATTCCTACTATTCGATTCGTTCAAAATAAATACGAATAATTTATTATTCTATTCTTATACAGGCCGGGTACTTACCGTATTAACTTTAGACAATTTTTCAACAAAATATTTATTTTAACTCGATTTTATCAACATTTTTTAACTGCAAAATTGTCTAACTATAATTGTGTAGGTACCATGTGATGGAAAATTCCAGTAAAATTAAGTCTTCAATAATTTTTTAAAAAACGTGCCTTAACTATAAATATCTTTTGTATAAAATTGGTCGATTTATATCTTTTCTTGCAATCAACTAAATTTAGGTATATTTCGAATAAACAAAAATAAAAATCAATTAATTCTACGTATAAAAAAAAAGGTTAAAATGAAACAGATAAATAAAAATATATAAATAAGTTTAACATACTCTAAAATAAATATATAAAGAAGTTAATTATTTAACATACTATAACTAACAACATAACAATACTCTCAAATTAAAAACAAAATTTTGATATATAATTTCCTTATTTTTTTTTCTGTTTTTAAAATTAATCTTAATTTCTTTATGTGTCTGTTATCATTATTATATTAGCTAATCATTTTAATATTTCTTATTCCTAATTTAAATTCAATGTTTTCAGCAAACCGGAACACACCATTATAATTAGCATCTGGACAGCAATTGATACCGGTATATTAGAAGATGCGCAACTTAATTTTACTATACATAACGCTTAGACTCCATGCTTATAATATTCCGTTTATGTTTCCGCTTTTGGTGTTTTAATGTTCCAGATAATATTTTAATTATTTATAAAAGTATATTTTTCTAGAGGAGTTATAAGAGAAAAGGATAAAAAATATTATAAATTAATAATTTAATTGGAAATTTTTTACCGATAATAATTGTTACTTATTTCTATTTGAAAAATTAATCAGAACTACACGCAACGGGTACTAAACAGACATAGAATCTAATATAAATTTATTCCTACTAGAGATATGCAAATCTCGGCTTCTTTCGGCCGGGTCCATTTAAAAAAATAATTCCGGTTAGGGCTGGGTCGGGCTTAAATTTTTAATCATATCAGTACATTTTGTCAACAAGATTGATATATTTTACAATTATTGCAAGAAACAAAGTTTTATTTCAGGTCGGGCTACTCGGGACAAATAAAATAAAAATTATTCGAGATCGGGCGGAGCAGGAAATGAATTTAAAAAAATTTTGGGCCGGGCCAGGCTTAAAAATTTAGGCCCGTTGCAGTTCACTAATTCTTACCACTATAATTATTTAGAGGTAATATAACTTCGTTAATAGTAAACTCGAGGAGATATAAAATTTAGTTTCCTAAAATGAGTTTTCGCACGCGACTATAAATAATTTAGATAAATATTTTAGATATATAATATATCAATTTTCAAATGAGCTTACTACAGAGTTGAAATAGGATTTTACAAAGGTGACCAAATTCATATTTTATACCCTGTATTAAAAGATACTTCTTCCAGGGCTTATTCTTATTAAATTTAAGAGAATCTTGTATTATAATATTTAAAAAAAATTTTTTAAATAATGTAGGAAAATATATTTTGGTTGATTTTTTTTTATTGATAATTTTACCACATATTGTTGTGACCATTAGAGACAAAAGAAATTTTCTTTCAAGCCATTTTTTCAATCATTAATAATATAAAATCTAAATATTACAAGGTTCATTATTAAATTAATATTATATTTCCATTATTTTTTATTGATAAAAATATTATATATCAAGGAAATATTTTGCGTTGAATATATTTTATAAAATAACATCATATATTCGGACATTTGTTTTACGTTCAATGGATACGAGGTTAAATTGCCGAATTTTTTTATTAAAAATATTAAATGAGTTATACTTTATCAAATTTTCATGATACCACTTCCATGATAAATAGAAATTTCCTATTTAATAACAGATCGGTAACAATGGCGTCATTGATTCTGACCATTTCAGTTTATTTCAATGTTACTTTATTTTAATTTAGGGTTGCTGAAACAACACCCCCCCCCCCCCTTCTTTTAATTCTGATGCCAATAATCGAAAAGGGTTAAGAGTATAAAAATATTTATTATAAAATATCATTATTTTTATTACTATTTCAATTAATAAACTATGTGTTGGAGGTCCGCAAAATTAAAGGGTTATATGATTTTCCTCCTACTGGACTTTAAAAAAGGATTCGATTTTAAAAGATTCAAAGGAATAGAAAAAATTTCTCACGAAAGTTTCTTAACCATTTATAATATAAGAACATTTGGTATAAATAATAATATTTTTTAAAAAAATTGTCGTTTTTTCTAAAAATAATTACTCATTAAATAGTAAAAACTAGAAAGGTAATATAAGTCCTTAAAATCGACGATTCAAAAATTTGAATCGAATACGAATAATAGTATTATTCGTTTCGATTCATATTTTTGTAGACCTACGCCTGAGTTCTTAGAAGGCCCAATGAAATACGTAAGTAAATTAAAATATTTTTAGAAACATAATAAAAAATATGTTAGATCAAAAAAAAACCTTCTTTTCTAAGGACAATGTTTTGTAATAAAAATATGTTTTATTAGATTAGCAGATGATAATAAAACCTTTATAAAAGGCAATTAATAATCCAAATGTTTTTCCAAAATTTAAACATATCGTCGGTAGATTCTATATATGTTTGTTTATTCTTCAGAACATTTCTAACAATATTTTTTGCATTTTGGACAGGAGATAAATAATATTTCAACATTTCCATTGGTGATATGGAAAAATACAATACTTATGGATTGATTTATTGAAAAAATGCATAGTGTACATAATTCCGTCGACGATATTTATAAACAATTTAAAATATTCCATCCTGTAGTATTATTACTTAACAATTATCGTTAATTTGTCTTAATTTATAACATTACCAATTATCTTAAAATTGTCTTTATTTATTAATATTCATTGGTTTAATATATTATTTAATATTATACAACGTTCTAAAAAAACCAAGCGTTTTTAAATTTATCTATAATTGTATTTGACAAAAATTAAAGAAAGTGAATTAAATTTATTTTATTTTATACAACAAAATATTTTAATATTATTTTATATATAAAAAAACTTTATTTTATCACTATCGTTACTTAGAATTGAATATAAATAATTATTTAAATCTTTAGTATTTATCTAGATTTCCTGCACCCCAAAGATATCATAATAGTAATAGTTTACCTTGGGATATAAAATTTTTTCCTTATAAAATAATCTTATCTTATCAAATCCCTTTATAGATATTGATTTAAGTCATAATAATATCTTATGTAAAAAAAATTATTCATGTTTGATAGCAGCACTATCAGTGTGCTTTTGGAATAGCAACACAGGTGTTTTGGAATATTAACGAAAAATACTAGATATATATCATTGGTGGTGTTGATTTTGAGAGAGGAAAATTTTTATAAATATGAAATAAATGGTTTCCTTATTCCCAACAAGGAAATAATCCCTTTGATTAATATATATTTTTTAAATTATTAGAAATACCCCCCCCCCCCCCCCCCTCACCTCCCCCTTCCTCAAAAAAAACAAAAAATAAACAAATACTTATGGGTTTCTGTGGAATTATTTTGATAAAAAATGGTGGTTTATAATTTTTGTTATAATATTATTTTATATTTTCTAATTTATTAAGCATAGTCAAAAAAATAATGGTATTATATAAATCTTTAAATATTTTTATAACAAGAAATAACATACATTTATTAATTTCTTTCCTTTTTACTGTAACACATTCCCAGAATATTCAACGTATATATACGTTTCTTTTTTGAAATTTCATGAAACGACTATAGAATCCTGTCAAGAATACAACAAGAGGGGACCTCTTGGGCCCAGCAATCTTCTGTGAGGCTATTGGCACCATCATAGACAACATCAACAACAAATGCAATGTTATTTTAAACATAAGGTATTTAGATGATGGTACAGTTTCAGGACCATACGATGTTTAATTAAAATTCCATCTATCATTTCTGATTTCATTCCCGCTACTGGTCAATAATAAAAAATGCGAATTTTATATACCCAACAATTTTTATCCCCATTCCTGTTAACTTTTCTATAATTGATAAATCAAACTTTACTTATTTAGGCTCACTTATTGGATGCAAAGCACCAATATCCAAATTTACCGAAGACTTCCTGATTAAATTTGACTGACTTTAGAAAATCTTAGGATTTTTACCATCTCATCATTCATTCTTTTTCTTAAAGAATTTCCTTTATATTCCAAAAATATTGCATGCTTTTCGTTCTGCTCCTCTTTTCCAATTCCCAGACATGCTACTAGATTTAGAACTTAAAGTTAAAATCTCCCTTGAATCAATACTCAACCTTAAATTCTAGCCCATTTGCTGGATGCAAGCCGCTCTTCCATGTAAATTTGGGGATGCTTTCGATCCACCGCGTCACTGAGTATTGCAGCTTTTCTCTCATCATTCACCAGAAGTCAAACAATTACTAAAATTTTTACCACACTACAGATCCCCATCTGGGGTTGGAACTAGACCTATGGAGGTCGAACGCTCCTAATGTTTTCTTTCCTTTATCATCCAGACAACAAGATTGGGACTTACCTTTAATCCAGCGTTCCGTTGAATACCTTTAATCGAACGCTACTTTGAAGGACATTTCCTTGATCTTTAACCCAGATATCCCCTCCCCAATAAATCAAAGTATTGAATTCCTCTCCCCCCCTCCCTCCAATAACCCCATTAAATCAAAGTAGTAATTCCATCATTTGAACATTTCATCACGGTATATGAATGGCTTGAGGCTATCCCTAGCTCCAACCCTGGTTTGCTCCTTTCCAACAAAGAACTTCGGATAGGAATAGGTCTTCGTTTAGGCTGTGATATCGTCACACCTTCATACTGCCAACAGTGTCAGCTCCCTATCGACAGTCTAGGCCATCAGCCTCTTCACTGCTGTTTCTTTAAAGGCCGCTATCCACGCCACCAAGCAATAAATTCAATTATTGCTAGAACTCTTCGTTCAATATTCCATCAACTTTGGAACCTGTAGGTCTTAATCTCGGGGACAATATCAGGCCTAAAGGAATGACTCTTATCCAATAGAGCAGAGAAATCACGCTAGCCTGGGATTATACATGCGTTGATTGCTTTGCACAATCCTTTTGCTCTAATTCCTTAGTTAGAGTGGAAATTAGAAAGATTAATAAATACATTACCATCCTAATATTACTCTATCCCTTTTCTGACACAATCGGTGCTTGGACCAGAGCATTAGAATTTTTCAAGGCACTCGGCCAAAAGATGCGCTTAATTTCGAGTGACCCTCAGGAAGGTTTTTACCTACGCTAACGAATCTCAATGGAAATTTGTAGGTCGCATAGTATATCAATCCATATTGCCATAACATCTTTCTCTTTTTTTTAAAATCATATTACAGTATATTATTACCTTTTTTTTAAAATAAATAATTTATATTTTTATATAGCTTATCCTTTTATTGTAAATTGTATACATTTTTAAATCGGAATTTTATTCAAAAATAAATATGTATATTTGAAACTTTTTAATAAAAAAATTTCACAAAATAAATTAAATATATATCATAAAATTGAGTAAACTAAACAAATATTTTTTTAAATTATTCAAACATGATATCTTATCTTTAATTAAATATTCAAAATTATAAATTGATTAATTTCATCTTCATAAGAGCCTAATAAAGTTTGCATAATAGTAGTTTTGAACTGGGATACAATAGCATTGTTAATTTTGTATTTCCCTAATTCCATATTGGTTAGGGTTAAACGCTCTCTTAATGTTTTAAATTTGTGTTAGAAAATTGTGGAGTGACTGCATTTAAATATGGGGCCAGGAATTGCAATTTATCAAACTGTGCATAAGGTATATTACGTTCACTAATTGAATTTTTCGATTTTTCGCCTTGTTTCATCATTTATTAAAAATATAATTACTAAAAATTTGAAATTTAAACGAAAAAAGAGAAATAAGCTAATTTTATTATAAAATAAAAAGTTCTAAACATAATTCTTAAAAAATTTTAAAATACTAATTGATTAAAATTTAAAAACTCCTGTAAGTTTTTGTTTTTTAATTTTATTTTTAAACAAAGTTTTAAAAAAAATTATAACTAACGTTAAAGAAAAATCATGAGTAAATATTATATATCTTTGTTTTTTGTTTTATTGGAGATCCTCTTCCAAGCGTGAAGGTAGTCATCATATTTTGGAAGTTCCATATTCCATACGTATTAGTTCTATAAATTGCCCTTATAATATTAATAAATATTTAAAATAATATATAAAATAGGGCTGTGCCAACTCACAATAGGTTCACTGATCCGATATTTATATTTCACAGAGTAAATCTTAAATAAAACAAAGGATTTCAATAATTTAAACGCTTTGTATGTGTCGTTTACATTGAAGGAGTTTCTTATTTCCATAACCCGTTTCTCAACATATTTCCTTTTGTTCCTACGTAGTTTATGGCCAATATCATTAAGAACACATTTGGTTCCAAACAGGGAATCTACCTCTAGCCAGCAGAGAGTTAGTCGCGGCTTCTGTGAAAATAACACGATATTTTCCCAAAGTGTGCTAGAGGATAAGGTATCTGCTGAATCTTTAAAGCATAGAAACTTTTCTCTAATTTGCTTTACACACTCATTCTTTACATTTTGATCCCTTAGGGCCTCAATATCTATCTCGCGCTTTTCATTTTTCTTACTATTTTTTATCATTTGCTTATATTAGATTTTAGATCAATCTTAAAAAAACAAATAAGGAGTTTGTGGTCTGAATTAAACATATCTTGGTGGAGTACTTTAATATTTTTTATTCAATCAATTGTCGTTCTAGAACAAATAATATAGTCAATTTGTAACCATGTATTGTATGATTGGCTATAGCAAGTAAATATTTCTCTACTGTGGGGTGTTCGAAGAAAGTATTAGCGACACGAAGGACAAGATTACGGCATAGTTCTAGAAGTTGCCCCCCCCCCCCTACACCAGAATTTATGTCGAGTGTTTCAGAATCTGGTTCTATATTCCTAATCGCTCCACCTTGATATTGAAGTCCCCAACTATAAGTATATTTTCTGGTTTAGGAAACCTGTTTAAATATAATAAAATTAGGAAGAATGCTTGTCTTTCAAGGTAGTTTGCAGCGTATATACATTTACGATATTCAGTATTCTAATCTTAATTTTAAGTTTAATGATAATAACCTGCTTTTTAGTGTCTTGAACTCTGAACTGCTAGATTGTTCTTAATGATTATACACACACCAAACCAACTTTTTTCTATCTCTCCTGAATAATGGTAACCCTTACAATTCCTAGTTGAAGAGAATTATTTTGATATATTAGTATTTAAAAATTTACTAACTTTAAATATTAATTTAAATAGAAAATATAAAATGTGGCATTTAAACATGTCACATTTTATTTTTATATCATAATTTCTCCATTTTCTATTTTTACTCTGGGGTTTCCAATATTTTAATTTTTAATCTGACTTTTTTTTTTCGCCATAGTTAATAAATGAATATTCTAATGATAAATATAAATTAATATGGATTTTAAGTAGGAGAATTAATAAGTATTTTAAATATAATAAATAAGATGCAATTTTTGGAAAGAATATGTATCTAGACTAAATTTTTCAAGGACAAAATAAATTTGTTTGTTGTCTGGTAAATGAAGAATATATATTAGATATGACATATGCGAAAGCTTGAAGCGAGCTAGTATTACATATATCATTGGGAAAATCATTTCAAAAAATCATTTTTTTACTATTTTATTTAATTATTAAATTTCTAAAATATACCGAAGCAAGATTTTATTATTATTCCTTTTTCGTCATTCTTTAAGCGCTTCGCTCTTTTCAGGGGCGTCGCTAGCCTTTATAATCTCAGGGGGCTCAACTAAAAAAAATTTATGAGGGCTTCGCCCCCCATATCCCCCATTTTGCGGCCCTTCGGCCCGCTTTTATAGTAATATATATGACTTTTTTAAAATTTGTTATCTCTGAACAATTATTCTGAATTTCGTATTTTGTATAATATGCAAACAAAATAAACTGGCAAAAAAATAAATAAAACAATACAAGATATTTCTAAAAATAATATTTTTTATTACAAAATCTATATATTATAGTATAAAATACTTTCGATTGCTAATATAAAAAAAAATTTACCACTAAAGAATTACAAGTGATAAAAAAGATTAATTAATTCATACATATACCTCAATTGACTATGATTTTTAAAAACCACATAATGCAATAATATAATTCTTAGCAACTTACATTGACAAAAGGTTACCAAACTAATATAACTCTCTGTTACCATTTTAGACAATGTTTATAGAATGGAATAATAAGGAAATATTTATACGCATAAACCATATCAACAATTTTTGAAGAGAGTATAAACGACCAATCCAAATCATAAAACTATATAGTGGTTAGAGCTTCCTTTTAGATGACATGATGGAAGCTAGATAAGTAATCGAGAAAATAATTGTGAGATATTAAATTTCTAAAAGATTGTCTTCCATTTTATAGTATATAAACAACTACACATTTGACCATTATTGTTTATCTAAAATATGCAATCATATGCTCTCAGCGGTTGTAGTAATAATCTTAAATTACATAGCAACACAAATAATAGATGCTGGTTAATTTGCAGAAATAGCCATGACACTCACGATGTAAGCAAATATCAAAATTTATTATGTTGGATAAATTGATAAAATAAAAACCTAAAATCGTTGGGAAAAATAATTATGCAAATATATTGAAGCCTGGAGTTATTTATATAGCAATGCCATATTAGAAATGAAACATTTTCTAACTATAAAATAAGGACCAGAATGATATGATGAAACAATTAAGAATTTATATATTGTCGCACCACCGTGGTATATTATATTTTATAATAATAGTAGTTTGTAATAATATCAAAAATATACTTGTATTAAAAATTTAGCTCAAAACTGTTTTTCGAAACAGAAAATAATAGCTTTCTTAAAAACACGTAAAAAAATAGAAAAAAGGATATCAAATTTATTACATCTATTGCAAAATGAATAATAAAAAGTTTAATTTTTAAAATAATTTATAAATAAATAGATGGCGTTAAATATTGAATGCAAATTGTTTTTATATTTATTATCAAAACCATTTATTAGTAAAATTAATTATAATATTAGCTGTAATATAATATATAACTGTCAAATACGTCTATAAAAGTTATACTTTATCTAATATTTTATAAACAACTGTAAATAGTAGAGTATATTAACTTTATGTCTACTTACTTTTTATAAAAAAGTCTCTGATACATATTTGGACCTTGAAAATTTTAGGAATAGGTATGATAATATTAAAAATAAATATACAGTTGATTAGTCATTTTGAACTCGGCTAATTACAATATTGAATTTGTTAATTTTCAAATAATATATGATTATATCTATTTAATTAGGGTTATATAATAATTTAAATAATAAAAGTCAATTAAACTTCAACTGTTAAAGCTAAATTAATATTTAGTGAGTTATTAATAATATATTTTTAATACAGAATTTGATTGCAAGCTGATATAGTGAAAATATAACTTATATGTATTAATCTAATTTAATAATCAAAATAGTATTCATTTAAGAAAAATTTAAATATTCTTATTAATTTTTAAATAATAAAATTAAATCTATATATTACTTAATAAAATTATAAAAGAAATCATTCAGAGGGCAATCAATAAAAATTTTTTTTTGTTCTAAGGGATATTATGGAGCCATTAAAAAAATTTTTTTTTGCTTCAGGGGGCTTTCAAATTTTTCAGGGGGCTCGAGCCCCTGCGCCCCCTCCCCCTAGCGACAACACTGGCTCGTTTGTGTTGTTGCAAACAACAGAGCTACACGTGATTATTCTACGCCCATCAAACTGGGTAAAAGTGATATATGGCGGTAAATTAAAAAGTGAAAAGAATCATCTACTAATTTTTAGGCAAGCTGCAGTTACCTCTGCGCACATAAAGAGTAGCTTTTTGCGAACTCCTATGGGCATTAAAAAGATAGCCACTAGCCCATACCCACTCTAAAGGATTTTTTTATATTTTGGTATTGTTGGGAATCTAGGAATTATATCGCAAGAATTTATTTATTATAATTATAAGTAATAATAGTTAATATTAATTGGTATTACGTAATAATATTACAGGTATAGGTCTGGAAAGGTTAAAATAAATTTTTACTGAATATAGGTTTATAACTAAGTTCATGTAAGAGATTAGTACTGAAATCGCTTTGTCATATAAAAATATTCAAACTTTTTTTTATATATAATAAGCATTGAATTCGGATTTATCTTAAATTGATAAAATTTGTTATATGTTATTTAAACTCTGTTCCTTCACAAGAAATTCATACAAACAAATTGATTTCAATTATCAATTGCTCAAGTTTAATATCCATGGCAATAAAAAGATAGTTTAAAATAGTGGGTATTATATTATCACTCCATATCAATGGAATATAACAAAGTAGCAATAATAATCAATAAAAAAATGTCAGCTTACCTTTTATTTTTTATTCGTTCGTTCATTAAAACCATGCTGCTTCGATATTCAGAAAAAAATATTAAAACATCTTTTAAATGTAATATTCTTTATTTATTATTGTATCAAAAATATGCATTTTTATTTACTAATGAAATGTTTTTACTTAATCAAAATTTGATTAAAATTTAATATATTTATCTAGATATAAAGTATACAACTCAATCTCAATTTAAAGAAAAAGGCTTGGAAAAAATAAAAATTAATAATGCTCAAAGTGAGAAAATAAACATTATTATAGTTTTTAATTATGCACTGAAATTTTTGCCAATAATAAAATGATCTGGTTATTAATGTGTATAATTTAGACATAAGATTATCAATTAATTTTAATGACTATCTTGTAATGTTAAATAAAATAGGTTTTTGAACAAAAATATTTAAAAGATAGGTCAACATCCTCAGATAAAATTAAACTATCTTTGGATCAGTTTTTTGGACTATTTTTTCTTTTTCTGATATTCACGCATAATAATTTTGTATTATTACAAGTATTACTGTTATATTTTAAGATATTATGCACAAGAATTAACTGCCAATCTGGTGCTAATTTTAAGCTATACACATTTATAAACAGTTCATTTTAAGATTGGCAAAAATATTGGAGTAACCATAATTATCATTATATTTTATGACAATAAAATCACAATTGTTATTTAAATTACATAAATTCAATGATGTTTTTATTATTAACACTGACTATTATATCATTTATATAATACCTGACAATATTTTACAGGGAAACCATTTAGGAAATGTTTATATTAAATTTTTAATTTTGAATTAAATTGGATTTTTAATTTAAAACCATTCTTATAACTTATTATTTCAAAAGAACGAATATCCTATTTATAATCCTATTTATTAAAAAAATAGTATTTATAATAATTTAATCTTCTATAAACATTAATATATAATGTCTTAATATAAATTTCCATCATAATGTTGTTAAACTAGTTATTTATCCTTAATATATTATTTAAATATAAGGAACTAAATAAATTGGCTTATTTATAATACGAAAATTAGGGTTCTCCAAAATACCTTTTAAATAAAGTGGGTTTAGCTATAGAATTGAAAAAAATAATAAAGAGAATCAAGCAATTTATAAGTTATATATATATATTTAACTAAGATATGACCAAATAATAAAATCGGGTTTTAACACTAGTATCAATATCGGTTCAAAGCTTAATATCAATGCACCTCTGATTTTTTTTAAAAAATTTATTTAAATACATAAAAAATTTAATATTTTTTTTTGATTGTAAAAAAATAATATTTTACAAATAAACAATATTAGCGCTTCGTTTCTAGCAAAATATTAAAATATATCAATTTGTTTCACAAAATTTAATATCTTATTTAAAAATTTAAGCCCGAACCGCCAAATTTTTCCGACCGGGCCTAGATTTGCATATCTCTAATTTCAATCACAATTTTTTTGCTTAAAAAATATTTGATCTTAAATATCTTCAATTTTAGTATCTTAAAAAAATTTCACTCTAAAGATTTCAAACTGGTTTTTTAAATAGATTTTTTTAGATATAGTTTAGAAAAATTAACGCTTAAATAAAATAAAAAAATAAGAATTGGAACATTTTATAAATAAAATATTACACTGTATTATGAAGTTTGAAGGGAAAAAAAAATTTATCAAAAATTCTAGTTTTGATTTTAAAAAGACTTTATTGATGAAAATTGCTTATAAATGATTTTAATAAGTCAAAGTATAAAATATCAAAAAATACGAGTCGCAAACTTTTGAAACTTTAAAGGAAAAAAAATATATGAACCTTTTTTTAATATAAAAATAAAAATATGTCCAAAAAATATTCCTAGAGTATTTTAAAAAATACAATTTAATTTGAAGTTTTAAGCGAATTTTTTAAAATAGATTTTGGACTTAGTCTAAAAAAGATTTTGACATTTACAGATATAATGTGATCAAAAATCTTCAAACTCTGATTTGAATTTTTTTATATTTTTTTTAAAAAAGATGGCTAATTTCTGCGAATATTATTATTATTTTCTTTTTAAAAACCTTTTCCTATCTCACCAACGGCAAAAAAAAATTAATCGATTCCTAAAAATAATAAAGATAAAAAATCGCTATCTGTCACAACATCACAAGGCAACGCAGAGGGACATGAACCACAACAAGTAATCGATATGATCAAATTCAATACTGACATCATATCCTCTAATGTTCCCCCAATACTCACCCCTAAAAATGCTTCTGAAGCGGATATTAATTTACCGAATGAAGCGAAGCATGCCCGCAAAACCAAAGAATCTATCCTTCACGAAGAGGACTATTTTAGAATGAAACATGAAATAAGCGCCAAAAAGAGTAATAATAATCGACCTTCCTTCCAAGCCGATTCCATAATGGAACGAATTTGCGAAAACAGGGTACAAGTGAACGGGGAACGGGATTTCGTGTTTCCCGACAAAATGACAAAAATGGAGAAACAACATTTGCAAAAAATAACGGAGTTAAACAAGATCTCCTATCAATTGGTCGAAACACACGCTAAAAACGTGGGCTTCAACGAGAACTTGAAATTTTTTGTCAAGGGCTGCATTCACGCTACTCAGGTAAATATATCAACAACAACCATTTTTTAAAATGGCATGGTATCAGAGCAGGAAAGGTTCATAGTAATAACTGAGATTTTATAGTTTGAATATTAAATTTTATGATGAAATTTTATTTAAAAAAATCCAATAGAAGATTCAAATTAATCACGTGACCTCTATAAAAATGTGCATTTTAAAATTTCATTTTCATTACTTATAATAAGGATAAAAACTTTTTTTTAAAAAAATAAACAAATCCGGCAATGAAGCTTAACAAATTAGATCTGAATCACTGCATCATGAATACCGCGGTTAAGGATAAATACGTTCGACAAATAGAGGGAATGTGTTCTAAGCAAAGATTTACATCGGCCCTCAACCTCATAAATAGGCTCTCCAGTAGAGGAATCTTTGTTTCAACCGACCTCATTTTACCCTTGATCAAATCGATCATAGTCAACGATTACTATTGCAGAAAATACTTTTTACCCCGATTTTTTGTAACCATTCATAATATGGTAAGATAATATACACAAAAAAATGTCTCGGACAAAAAGACACAGGGCAAAAATTGACAGGATAATAATAATCCCCATTTATTTTACAAAATTTTTTTAAAAGAGTTCTAAAATCTCTATTGTAATATTTTTGCCTGATGCCGGTGACTTTTTGCCTGATTCTTTTTTTGTCCTAATCTTTTAATTTGTTTAAGAAACCTGATAGGATGATTAATACTTGCAAATGCAAACTTACAGATAATTGTTTTGTTATATAGTCATTAATACGTCAGCTAAGCAAAATCTCAAATGGCCTATGAAGACCCCCCCCCCCCATCTAGATAATTATATTTTTTTATTATTCTGGAGGGGGGTATTTTATACACGTCAATCTTTCTGTTGATGACCGAATAGCTAGTTCTAAAACCGAACCATTGACCTTCGCTTCCACAATTTTTACTTTTCACTACCTTCAAAATAAAATTATTCAGGGCTATCCTATAACTATGTTGCTTAGACAATTAACCGATGTCGATGAGAAATATCTAGAGAAATTGGCAAAATACATCGCTGAATATTTGAACGTTGATATGGCTTACCTCAAGTCCAAAAATTTTTACCCTTCTCCTTCTTCCGAAGCGACTTCCGAAGAATTGGAGTACATACCTCTAGAATGTTCTTCCCACGATAAAATGGCCGACAATATTGACTGCATAATGAATATCGACACTAATTCTGACCTTATTACAGAAAATTTGGTAATTTTTAAAAAAATATATATATTTTTTTTAATTTAATGTAATTAGATAGTAATTTTGTTATTTTTATTAGGGTAATAAATAAGAAGACTTTACAAATATATTCTAAATTTATTTATAAAATATACATTAGATCAATAAAGCTCAAGGCACTCTCGTACATATGGGCATGAAATCTCATAAAAAGTTATGCAGCGCATTACTAAGGCAGGATAAATCAACTATCAATACAGTTGCATCGATAAAACCCTTCAATTATTTGCTAGAAATATACGCGAAATATGTTATAAAATTTATAAACCTATTCCTTTTATAAATCTCAATTGATAAGGCTTTCGAGGGTTATTTTTCGATTTTTTTACCGAAATTTACAAGATGATTCTTATAAACAGCTGAGTTGGTTTTTTTAAAAAGTATATTATTATATTATCAAATTTTTTAAATGATAAAGTTATAATAAATGACCCCCAAAATATTTATTAGGGCCTGATAGAAAACATGCGTTACATGTATCATATGATAAAATTTCTTGATATCAAACCGGACGTTCAAACCTTTGCCCATTTTTTGGAATGCATAGGTAGACATGACATCAAACCCGAGCTAGAAAAGATTAAGTTTGCAGAGTGTCTCATGAAAGAGATTGAAAAATTGGTAAATAATAATTATAAGGGAAATTTATAAATTGGGGTAAAATAATTGGGAAAAAGAACGTGGGCATAAACAGAAAGCTTAAAATGGAAGCAAAATATTGGTATAATCCGATTTAGACGTAACCACATTAACTTAAATATATTTGGTCTTTTTTTTTGGTTTTTGAAAATTCACAATGAAAATTTTCAAATATTATGCCTACTTTCTAGCAATCAAATTGCTCTTCTTTATATTCACAAAAGTAGAAAAAAATTAAAAAACTCATGTGAAGTATAGTAAGTGGCCAAGCAAAATAATTTCTTAATTTATTACGCAAGTCATTTTTATTTCGAGATTACACCAAATTTTAACTCCAAAAAAAAATATGATATATAACAAACAAAATGATAAGCTAGAAAATTTATTAGATTTCTGGGGTCAGATTATCAAAACGATAAATTTGGGAAAACTATAAAACGGGATTGTTTTTTCCATACTCCAACTATTTTATTGAATATTTGAATCTTTTAAAACACGAAAAATATAAAATATAAGTCATATTCGTTAGACGACATACTTCTCCAAGGTAACTACATATCCGATGAACCTCAATATATCATCAAAGTATATATTTTTTTGAAAAAATAATTTTTATACCGTATTTTATAATATTTTAATTCTTTTGTATAACTAAAATAAGAAGTATTTAAATATTTACTTTGATATATAATTTTGTTTATATATACAATTTGTCATATACTTTTATATTTTTAAAAGGCTGTCAAAATGGTACGACCTAATTTTGCCCCTAGGAAACCTTGCATTATCCACGAATACGATATGTCTATATTTAAAGATTTGCCTTTATCCAAAACTGTAAATTAAAAAAAAAAAAATTATTATTTACAAAAATAAAATTGTTATACAAAATATTGTATCAAAGTTAAATAATAAAATTATTACGAATTAAATATAATTCGAGTCGCTATATACTTAAAATCAAAGATTGAAAATAAATGTTAAAAAAATTTTTGAACAAAAATCTTTGAAGATATTTTTTGAAGAAGAGAGGTTTTTAATCAAATTTTAAAAATACCAAAATCTTTTATAAGTAAATCTCTTGTAATTTTCATGCAGAAAATAATTTTTAAGATGAAGTCAAATATTTTTGCTTTAAATATATAAAATGTAATTGTATTTTTGAGATATAATAAATTTAGGAAAAGATGATTTTGAAAGAAAATATTCTTTATTATCAGACAAATTCTTCATTTGGTATTTTTGATTTTTTAAAATTGGACGGGCTGGGTTAAAATTTAAAATATTTTTTAAAGTAGGGTGATCATGGGCGGGTTGAATTTTTAATATATTTTAGGCGAAATGAGCAGAGCTGATATGAATTTATTAAAAATAATAGCTTTATTTCATAATTTTACATATTATATATGTTTAATTAAAAATACATTAAAATAAATAAATTAAAAATAATAGCTTTATTTCATAATATTGCATATTATATATGTTTAATTAAAAATACATTAAAACAAATAAATAAAGAACCAAACCAGCCATTAAAATAATTTTTAGACATTGGGCGGGTTAAATGAAATTTATGGATAAATAAATGTGCGGGCGGATAAATTAAAAAAAATATAAGGGTTAAAAAAATTATAGCGAATGGGCAGGCTTTTTGGGTAAAAACCCAACCATTGCAGAGCTCTGATTCAAACCATGTTTGGCTAGACTAGATAATTTCCTTCAAAGATTATGTTTAAATAGATATCCATAACTCAAATTTTCTAAGTTCAGGATGGACAGTCTTATCCGAAATGGTTCCAATAATTAATATACCAGGGTTTTATAGCATAGATATTTGTTATAGGTCAAAACAGTTATATATAGTGATGACTTTCTTATGCACTCCACCCCTCTCGCTATTCATTTTATATAGACTGATTTATTAATATTTGATCTAACATGTTTTCATTAAATAAAATTACAGCTACCCCGTCAATCCATAAAAGCAAAACACGATGTCAAAGAGGATACCAAACGTTATAATATGCCTTATGCGGGACTAATTGATAAGTCAACATTTATGAATTGCTTATCTGAACAACTCGAATCGGAAATCGGTGGCCATGTTGATATCAAATCTATCTTCAATCCTACCCCTAACAACAGCCTTGACAAAAAAGGATCGTTAATGATTTCGGCCGCCAAAGATAAAGATTTACTTACTAAATTTAAAGATATTCCCAAAGACGAAAAGCAAGAAAGCAAGAAGAATGTAAGATTGATGAATCTATACATTGTATATTATATAGGGATATTTTCGAGGATTTATGAATATTTGGTATAATATCAATATTTATATCTGGCTTTTGCATTTTATTATCTTTATTTTTTATAAAAAAAATTAAAAGTATTTAACTACATATAAAAATTCTATTTCTTATAACAAAATTTAAATCTTATTCATTTTAATAACCTTTACATATTATATCACAATAAGGTTATTATCAAACAAGATTTTCATAAATCATAATATAATATATTTCAAATATTTATTTAATTTTTTACTTTACATACCTTTAAAAAGTAAATAGTGGCAATAAAAGAAATATTTGCTAATTAGAACATAATGCTTATCAAATCAAAATACCTTCTTTATTCATCTTATTAATTAAATATATTGTATTAAATACTAAACAATATATATAGCAGATTCAATCAGCCTACTGCAAAAAGTTAGACGCGGAGCGGAAAAAATGGCAAGAAACTTTGATGGAAGCTTTTAAAACCAATTTGCTAAGCATGAAACAGGAATGGGAAGCTAGAGGTTAATGTTCAATTTTAGTTTTTCATTTTATTTAACCTTATTTGTTAATTATAAATAATGTGTTCATACTTCAATTTTAGTTCAGTTAAAAGATGCAATATAATATAAATAAATTTCATTAATGAAAAGTGACATATTTAAGTTCCTGAACATTCTTTATAGTGGCAACGTGTTAATTATTATAATAAATTTAGAAATATCTTGAAATATTTTTTATTACCATGTGACAATTTTCTTTGAAAATATAATATTTATTATGGAAACACATGAGATGTGAGAATAGTATTATTGTATCAGTTTTCTCTAATTGTTGATATTTAATACAATGCATTTAATTTTTGTATCAAATAAGAGATATTTAGAATTTAAAATACTTTTTATAAAAAAATTTATATTTAAAAAAAAACAACAAAGGTTTAAAAAGTGGCTTTCAATTCTTAAATCTTTATCCACTCCTCAAGATTTTACCGCCTCAATTTTACGTCGATCTAATGTTAAATGTAATTTTCAATTATTTATTTTCTCACTTTACTCCATCTCAAGCATAATCGCTTAGATCTTATAATTTGGGCCTGCGAAAGAGTCAATACGTTTTCCTCTCTTTAGATCACCATTGCTACTTGTACATTCATACATTGTTGTATTATTAACTTATAATAATAGTATTATAAATTCTACAAGAAAACACATGTTTTCATAATAAAATAATTTGCATGTTCTATTAATAAATTTGTATACCGTGATGTATTTTCTTTCGGTTGTTAAACAATTTTATTTATTATAAAACTTGAATTAAAATAATTTTAAAACCCCCTTAAAGTAATTAAATGTATTGTAATTCTTATAAAAAATTAGGAAATAGAATATTTATCAACTAGCGCTCAATTTTATAGCCCCTCGAGTTTATTCCTCTACAAACAAATGGGGATGAGAATCAATCAAAAATACGTGGTTCATCAAAAATTGATGAAAGGATTTAAGGATAAGGTTGTAATAAAACTATTATTACTTTACCATTTTATTTATTATACGGTGAATCATTCTAATAATTTTTCTCAAGTGAAATATTTTATAAAATTATTTTGGAATTCAAAATCAAGAACTCCAAAAAAAGGGTGCTCCAAGTTTTGAATATTTTTTCTGTAAAAAAAATTTTGAAAGAGGATTACTATCTGATTTCGGTTCTTTAGAATTCGATTTTGGCGCAATTATAGGTTCTTCCAAAAACTCTGTTTTAATAACAGAGACCTGTAGAGGTATTATTTGCATGGGCCGGCCCAGATTATTTTTAAAAAATTCTTTCGGCCCGGCTCGGGTTTTATATTTTCAGGCCTGGCCCGGATTTTTTAAAAATTTGCATTTATTTTTAATTTTTATAGCTAATGACGATTTAAAATATTCGGTTTTAAAATATACTGGGTATTTATTTTTAAAATTTTTTTAGGCCTAGCAAGGTTGTTTTTAAAAAAAATTATAAGCCTGACCCGGGTATAAAAAATAGGCTAGGCCCGACCCGAGTATATTTTAAAAAATTACAATACATCCAGGCCCGCGTACCCGGACCCGACTAAGGCCGGGCCTGCAGATCTCTGAAGAACATATAACTTTTTTGAAAAAATAACGATAATAAAAAACTTTTAAAATTATCGCAAAACATTTTTGACATTATAAAGTATATTTAAAGTAATTGTGCTTTTTAATAAATGGTTCCCCTTCCGGTTCCTGAAATTTTTTTAAAATGGCTTCCGGTTCTAATAAATTTTTATATTTGTCCTGTCTTCGGTTTCAAATTCTGTTTATCATTATATCCAGAGATGGGGGGTTAATTATTATTTTTTGGGTATTGGCTCATTGGTATCATTTATAATAAGAAGTAGCGGCCGATACACTGATCGATACCGCGAATATTGAAATAATACTTGGCATATACAAAGCATATTTTTTGAGCCAAATATATTTTGATTCACCACTTTTTTTTAAAATTTTTTGTACAACAATATATATTTTTTTAAAATAAATTTTAAATCTAAATGTATAATTATTTCTTATAAAATAATTTTTGATTTTAATAATTCTTTAACGATTTATAAAACACCTAAATATAGCTCACGAATATCTACGATAAATTCTACGATTATACCCGTAACCTTAAAACCTTTGTCAATCACATACCCAGAACCTTGTGGAATCAGATATGTATTGATCAATTTGAATGGACCCATCATTTAGTTCATTTTTATAATTTATCATTATTGCTATTTATATTAAAATTTAGGGATTTCATATGTGTTCTTCCTTTCCAAAATGTTAATTCGAATCCGATTGATATTGCCGAGCAGTGTTGTTAAAACTACTTTTAAAAGTAGCGCGCTATTAGCTTTTTTTAAAAAGAGTAGCGAAAGTTGCCGCTACTTAAGAATAAAATTTTTTTTACATATCTATTTCCGTAAATAAAAAATAGACTCTAATTTCAAATGTATAATATATAATTTATTAATTAAAATTTTCATACTGTCATCCTCAAATCTACTACTACGATCAAAAGTACAATCTGACTAATCGTTCAATTTAAATAAGATAAATCATCAAATATTATCATTTGAGTATTTTTAGATTGGAAAAAATATTTTTTATTTCAAAAATATTATCTATAATAGGTGGCGTTTTTGATCTGGGTAGGGTTAGTTTAAATTATAATAGTAATAGTTAGAATTAATTATATAGAGGATAAGTTATGAATGGCCATGTTTGATGACTGGCCAGACCACCACCCTTTAACCTTTTATCTATTGAACCAATTTATCTCAACATTAGAAAGGATTGAAAATGTTTTGATAAAATTTATAAATATATAAATAGATGAGTAGTTAATTCTAATAATGTTGACATCCAGATAATTTATAAAATATTATCATTAAATAGATGAGTCTGATGATAAAATGATATGTTAATATTAATTATTTATTCTAATTTTTAATTTTTAATATAAAGCTTGAATAATATATATGGCCAGTTGAAACATACCACGTTTGGACTGAGCCAGAAAATCAACTTTCACATAAACTCATTTAGCTCAAAAACTATTATAGATACAGCTTTGATTTAAATTTTATTTTAAATATTAAGGATTGGTCTACACATTGATATTAAATCTTTTTGATATATTACTATTCCCTCGTTGAAGTTACTAGGCTTACTTGATGATAAAACCTTTCGGTACATCTTACAATGAAATATATATACTGTGTTAATAATTTTATTTAGATTAAAATATTTTCTGAACTCAGGGAAATGAATTTCCAAGGAAATCAATTTGTCGATATGATCTGTACCAAATTATCTTCAATATCAATCTCTATCGTCGACATTTTAAATTATAAATTATTTTGAAAACTAGATTTATAATGCAGATTTTATATAAATGTAATTTTCAAAATTAGATATCAATGTAAATTTCAAAATTAAATAAAATAAAAAGATCATGATAGTACTTATAAATATATTCTAATAGATTTTATGTATTTATTATATAAAGCGACTTTGTACTGCTATTGAAAAAAGTACCGCGCTACATTAACAACACTGTTGCCAAGACAAAAACAAAATAAATACTCTAAATTGACCAATTATATTTTATGCTAATCATGATTTCTTTTGTACATGTGTCTAGCGGATTTATTTTTCAAAAACAAAGATATATTTTTTAAAAATATAAATTATGCTTGTTTTTCGGGAATTTGTTTTCGAAAGTGGTATTTTTATTTTTAAAATTAAGAAAAAAAAGTTAGCAGAATAAATAATTTATGTAAGAGAAGATATGACCCGATACGAATAATATAATTTTATTTTCTAAATTATTCTAGGAGTTAGACAATCAGCTGTGGCCATCGACTTATCATATAGGAGTAATAAATTTTAAGTTATTATTATAATTTACCTTAAATTTGGGGTTTAATGATTGAAAGATATTATCATACATAACAGAATGTTTCTTGGATATCCAAGTAAGTGAGGAGAAGGATTGAATGAATTATAGATAAAAGAATGAATATATATTTTTTTTAAAAAATTACTCCCCAAATTCATTTTCAGGCCCGTTCCATACTGGATTCGATAAACCAAAATATGAGTAAACCGATGAATGATCATCAGCTGATTATTCAATCTGGTTAATTCATATGCAACTTTTTTTAGCTACATAGTGATTTTTTTAAAAAACATATCCTTTCGCCATCTAAATGATAATGAAAAAAGGAGACCCTTTGACTAAAAAAGTTCTATATATTTTTTTAAAATCGACTCAGCCCTGGTTTTTAAAAATCGGTACCATTTTAAGGCTTGGCTCTGGCATTGGTGCTGTCATCATCAAAGGAAATTCAGTCAATCACGTTAAACCTTTAAAGTTCCGCTAATTTAACTATTAGTAAATAGCGAGCAAGGTTTTCATAGTCATATTATTGTAAAAAGTTAATTTCGCAGACAAATAGATATTATTCCATATATAATTTATTATCTTACCTATTCAAATTTCAACAATTTGTAAACAAAAGAAATACATTTTTACATATTATAACTTCCAATCACATAATGATTGACATGTTGTATACAATTCAACTCATCAAATAATAAATCTATAATCTCCAATTGCAACATCTTCCCCCTCAATCCAGCCTAAAGGCTCATATCAGCATGAAAGATGATGCATTAATCGACTTACAATTGTCGAAAAATTATTAAAAAAAGCTTTATAAACTTGCACATGATATACATATACATAAATGCAAAAACCCAGAATACAATGTCGCGAACTCCATTTTGTATAAAAATATCAATATTGTCAAAAAATAATATCTATACGTCTAAAAGTTGTTTTGCATCTTTAAATATTATTCTCTTCTTTGCCACCCGTTCAACCCATATATCATATCGCGTTATTCCATTTATCGATTCTTAACGTTAACGTTGCTATTTAATTGCCTCTTATCGCTTCCTGGTTATCATTTTGTCTTAAAGCTCGTGGTACATTTGTATTGCATGCGTATGTCATGTGCAAGATATGTATTGATAAAAAAAAGTAACCCCGGGAAGAGTGATTTGAAAACTTAGATCTGAGTTGTATGGAGAATGATATATAGCTAATAGTCAGAGAGGATATAACATCTGAATGCTTTACCCGCGCCCAGGAATTATTTTATATAAAATAAATGTACCGCGTGTTTAAACAATTCAAAATATTAAACTGTAATCTTAAATTATAACAAAAAGGTTTATACTAAGGATAATCAATTTTATTTTTAATTTTGACAAAGCTCGGAAGATTTTTGTATACATTAATACTCCAACATATCAAAGTTGAAATGACCGATTCGAAATACGAAAAGTTTTAGTTTTATATATATATATATTTATTATTAAAGGTAGAGAAGATCTTTTAAAATATTTACAGTTAAATGTGCGCGATAACGTTTATCATTTATTAGAGTGTTTCTAGAAAGTCGATTTTTTTTCTTTCTGGTTTTAAGTTTTCTCGAAATTTTCATAATAAGGAAATATAAATTAAATTTAAGCCTTCTTTAGCTGGGCATTTACCCAACCACATCTAAAAGAATGGGGCTTTTCAAACTAACAATAATTCTGTATTATTATTACATAAATAAAAAAATATATATTTTTTTTATAGAAAAACATCTCCCGCATTTTTCAGTATCTTTCGGCAATATAGCATTAGTCAGAAGGAGGAATTTAAAGTTAGGATATTTTAATTATATAAATAATTTTGAAATTTTAATAAGCGAAATAAATGATTTATTGAAATGTAAATTTTTTTAAATAAAAATATTAAGGCCTTGTCCTAGGTGGGCTTAATACTTAATAGCCGGCTATTAAGCCTTCTTTTAAGTATCGGCCAAATAGGCAAAAAAGCAAAAGAAAAATTTAAGGAAAAACAAAAAAAAAATAAATAAAAACAAAAATCGAGAATAAAATACGAAAAATAACAATGCCACCAAATGCTTAAACAAAAATGGGGTTTCCTTCGATCAGATCATATACTATTTAGCCTATACTATAAAAAGAAATTAAGCCTTTTTTAACTAAAATTTAAAGGTAGGAAAAAAAAAATTATAAAATCATATATATATTTTAAAAAGTATTAGATATTTTTATATATTTATATTTATTATTTTTTGATTTACAAATAGATTATTTCCGCTGCTATTTCATTTTAAAATATAGTTTAATTCTTAAAAAAAAAGATTCAGAAATATAATATGGGGATTTGAGATATACAAAAATATATCATGTAAAAAAATTATTTTATATATTTTTGAATATAACCATTTTAGGAATTTTTGATTCATTTACCGAGCGCCATTTTTAAATTTAAAAAAATTTTGTTTTGTCCGGAAATGTATTTCAACATGTATAAAGTATCCACATTGTAAGTCTCAGATAATTTTGCATAGTGTATCAATTTTTATATAGATTTTTTATATAAATTAAATAAATACACAAAGGTTTATCGAAAATTGTCTGAAATTTACAGGATGGGTGTTCTACAAATGCTGAAATGCATTTCCGGTCAAATCAGATTTTTTCAAATGTAAAAATCTCCTTCAGTAAATGATATTATTATCTATTCAATCCCTAAGTATTTCATATCCTAATGCGACATATTATATATATTAATTACAACATGATTTATCTCATTTGAAATTGAACACCTATAGAATTTTAGTTAAATTGATAAGAAGCTTATTTATGTATTGTAAAATTAGTGGAGAACTCATATTACGAGGATAAAGTTTCATCAAACGAATAGGAACAATGAATTATTTGTTTTTTGATTGTTTTTAAACGAATCCCGAAAAAAACCCCGGTAAATGAACCCCCCAGGAAAATATACCCCCGGAAAAAAACCCCAGGATTTTTTTCCATATTTTTAGAATTTACTTTAAGACCTTATAATTTTAGAAAAAAATATTTTAAAAATATAATATATTAATAAGCTAAATTTCTTTAGGCCCTAATTCATTATTTAAAGATTACTCATATACCCTCCATAAAAAATGTTTAAACAAGATAAAATGCTGAAGTTCAAATTGGTACTGGGGAAAAATACCCCATTAAAATAACCCATGTATTTCTTATTTTCGTAAAGATTATTTGCTATAGTAATAAATACAATATCCATCCTTAATTATGATATTAAGTAGACTAATTTTGTAATAAATTATATTTATTTTATTGTAAATCATGATTATGTATATCAGTGGCGTAGCTACGGGGGTGGTTTTCGGGTTTGGACCCCTCCCAGAGCTAAATTTTTTTTTTAGATTATACGTTCAAAAGACTTATAAGTGACTTTATATCTATTAAATACCATCAATATTTATATTTTTTGGTTTGATGTTTGCGAAAGGATATTATATTACTATTGAAATTATTCTTGGTAGTATTATTATAAAGTCATTGAGAATAATCTACTTAATTATAATAACATATTATTGATGCATTTAAAAAATATATTTATTGTATATTATCGAAGATATGGTTATGTAAGATAACCCGGCCGAAGGCCAGGCAAGCCGAAGGCCCATTAAAGGGGGTCTCGGGGGCGAAGCCCTCCAGGTTTTTATATGTATGGACCCCCTCTAAGAAAAATTTCTAGCTACGCCACTGATGTATATACAAATTTAATAATTTAGAATAATAATTATATTGATTGACATCGTATATTGAAGGAAATAGTTCTTATAAAATCTGGAAGACTTCGCACCCCATCACGGTATTTTTCGCATAGTTTCTTTAACTGAATCGATATTATAACTCTGCTATTTTTTTCGGTATCCAACTATCTACACGCTATCGTTCAAGTTTGGTTTCATCGTTAGCCACCTCGCATTCCATTTTTTTGATCAATACCCAGATTGCCAGATTAGGAAAACGATGATTCCACCTTCGCATTGATTATTTGTGCATTCTTCGTCGGAAGAGTCTGATTCACGTTCCAAGTTTCTGGAGGAAATAGAGACTCAATTCCACGTTTTTGGAATTGAGAATTGCTTCTTGTGACAAATTTTATAAATATAAAAAAAAATCCGGGGGTTTTTTTCTGTGGATATTTTTTCCGGAGTTTTTTTCGGGGGTTTTTCTTCTATTAACTTTTTAAACAATTGAATTCTTTACTTCGATTTGTTTACAAAACGAATAGTTCGTTATTCGATTCATAATTGTTTTTTTTAGATTAGGTGAACATGTTTTGATTGCATATGATATTATTGTTTTTTTTAAAATGTTTTTAGGACAATGTTAATTTTTTATATATTCCCCTCCTCCCCTAATTCTAAAGCCGCATCCCTTTTTGGTTAAGCTATTCAAAGAGAGCAACCCTACACTTTTAGCTCTGACTAAACAGAAAGAGCAGAATTTGGATACTAATAATATTGCAGATAAATTGAGTGAAAAAAATGCCAAAACTCTCAAATTCGAGCCTCACATGTTACCTATGCTTGTGCCACCCATACCTTGGACCAGTATAAATGCCGGTGGATATCTCTTGAACAATAGTAATAATTTTTATCACTTTTTTTTAGAAAAAAAGATACATTTTATATCTCAGTCTTAGCTCGATTTTTAGAATAAATATTATCGATATAAAAAAAAGAAAAAAAGTAATATAAATTTTATTTTGGATTATAAGGTCCACTTGTACGACTATCGGAATCATGGGGCTTCCACTATCAAATACTCAATAAGACACCCGTCAAGAAAATGCTGCCTATGTTAGATTCCCTTTCGTATTTGGGGATGTGCCCATGGATTATCAACCAGCCCGTTATTATATATATTTTATTTTATAAATATAAGTTCCATATCTTATTATAAAACTCCAGTTCAAATGTATGATCCACATTAAGAATCCTTCTTCCATTAAACTTAGAAGGCTTGATAGGATAGGAGTGAAATAAAAAGTGGATAAATCTTTTAAAGAATTAGATACAGAACAAAAAAAAATAAATATTTAATAGATTTTAGATACGATCATAAAAATTTTCAATTCAAACGGCAACCCGGCTTTAAGTATACCTCCTTATAAGACCCTTCGACCAGAGCCTACTACAAACGAGGATCTTAATCACAATGACGAAATGACAAATTTATTCCCCCTTTCTTCCGTAGTTAATACCGCCCCGTAATTTCTATTTTGATTTTTATAATTTTAATTAATATATTACTTATAAAAAAACGAGTTTTATTTAAGGAGGGTAATAATCAATTTTCCAAATTGGTAATTTTTTTTAATAGGTACCCTGGCAACAAAAAGCATAATGGTAGCGGGAATGGGTACTCTAATTCAACGTCTTCCGTTGATTCTAAAACCGAATCGGAAATGTATTCCATATGGTGTGACACCTTATACAAACTTTCCATAGCTAATCACGTTTAATTATATTTATATACTCGTATATAAATGTTTTTGTTACCAAAAATTAAGAATTATATATCATTCTTTTCTCACGGGATCATATATTCAAATCGATTTAAAAACTGGGAAACATCGTAAAAGTAAATGGCTTCTAGATTTAAGCCGGTTTTAGAGTCGGCTGGGGTGTAATTGAAAACCAAATTCACGAGGAAATAATCGATATTGTATTGTAACCCTATTATTTATTTAATACTCGTGGAAAGTGGAAAAGTTCATTTTAAATTTAATTTTTAAATGCCAACTAGTTGGATTATTTAAAAACTCGCTTAAAAAAAAATGAAAACCTATTTGGGTTAATCCCATTTATTATTTTTCTTGACTCTGCATTGAATAAAAATAAGGGGGGGGGTTATATTATTATAATTAATTTTGATTGACAGATAATCTTTTATTAATTACCGTATTTATTATAATTAAAATTTGATTATGATATTTTGTTATCTCTTACATATTTAATAGGTTATACAAGATGCCATCCTATATTTTTTTTAACCAATTTTATAGATATATCTTTTTATTAATAATTTTTAAAAAAGTTGCGCGACAAAATATTTTGGTTTCCACATAACATGGACTTCCGGAGTAGAGTTTATCCGATCCCACCATATTTTAATCATTTAAGTATGTTATGTTATCTATATATTTTATTTTATTATAGTATTTATTTTTTAAAGGAGCAATAATTTTTGTAAATGAGTATATTTTACAAGCCATATTTTTTTTTTACAAAATTATTACTAAAAAATTATTATCTTATCTAGCATAAAAACAAACCCTTAGTTTATATTTAATGTGGATCCAATATAATGTTTAAATAATAAGTATGATTTTTTTTTTAGAAATATATGACTCACAACTTCTATCTATAAATTACCTTCCCTTAGTTTATCAAATAAATATTAAAAATTTGAAAAATAATTTACACAAAGTTTTATTTATCCAATGAATATTTTTCAAATTGGCATGCTTTAAATATCATACGATATGTCTATAACCCGAATCCTTACAACATAATATAAAAAACAATTTCCAAGACAAATATATTTATTTACATTATTTATTTTCTCCTTTTACTTGAAGAAATTTTATGATTTGTTGTTGATATTGTTTCAGTGCAACCCGGTACATTTATCTCGCTGTATGTCAGCCAGGGTCTATTAAAAATTGTGCATATTTTTTACACTAGCTTTAGTGTTGTTTAAACAGCTCGATTTGAATCGATTTTTAAAAACGGCGAACTCAATATTTTAGCCAGGCTTAATCCTCCAGATCTCGTTAATAGATGAACCTTATTGAGGAAAATCTTAAGGCTTGCATAATATTTTTCTGGGCAAAATATTTAAAAATCGGCTCAAAACGAGCCGTTTAACAACATTAACTAGCTTTATAATTATTTTTAAAAAATATTATCCAAAAACACCTTTATTACAATGTCATAATTTAAAAAGAAAATTCTTAAAACGCGGAAGTGGGTGGGACTACAAGTTCCCTCAAAGCAAACACAATTATATTTTAAAATAAAAATTTATATATTTTTGTTTTAGAAGGGACATCCATATTATATAAGAATTAAGTGTACATATCTATCATATAAAATATAAGTAATCATGTTCAAGTCATTCTCTCGACACTATAAAGGCCTACCATTTGATCCGTTGTATCGAATCCCCATTTGTTGAGTTATTGGTTGTTTGTAGAATCATCAATGTTTGGTTGTCATGCATTATGCCCAAATATTTACAATGTTGCCTTTTTTAAAATATAAAATGAAGTTTACAACTCTTTGAAATATAAATAAAGCGAAATAGGTCATTATTTCTTTTGAAAACGAACCCTTTCTGAATTATATCATTTCTCTAATCAACTTTTTTTTTGAGGGCCATCTCGTAAGGACGTTTAAAAAAAAAGATATCATAAGTAATATTTCTTCTAAAGAAATTTTAGAAATGAGATTCAACCCTAATTAATTGGAACCTTTATTTCAATTTAAAATCCAATCTTCAATTGTTTCTTTACCTTTATATATATATATATATATATATATATATATATATATATCCATTTCATGACGCTACTTGCCCCTCTCCCTAATTGCTAAAAGGGACATTTTCGTCAAAATGTTATTATCTTTATGAAATAATTTAGAGATAAACGATTGAAATTGTTTATAAAAAAATGAACAGCATAATATTTATTTTTTTAAATGAAATAACTAAATAAGGAAATAAAAATCTATAGAATCTAAATAAACGGCAAAAAAAAATTGGCGTAAAAGAGGTTTCAGGGTTGGGGCGGAGGTAGGTGGCAGTTAAATTTTGGTGTACAAGGTAAAAGATACCTGTTATTGCAATACACTAAATAACTTTAGAACAATTTTATAAAAGGTATTTATATTATAAAATTTTAACGCAGAGTCAATTCGACCCTGTTGGTAAGAGATCTTATTTTTTGATATTAACTCTGTTCCCGTTTGAATTTCCCGGGGAAATGTTATTCAGCTATTCAATATATTTTAAGTATAGAATATCATTTTAATTTATTTAGTTTTCTTTAAATTTGCAAGTATCGAAATTGTATAATAGAAAATTTATATCGATTTATTTGTTGAATCAAATCAATATAAAATAAACTATGAGTATTCTTTAATGATTTAAATATACTATTAAATTGACTAGTTATGTATTAAAGGCATTTAAAAGTGTACATACATAATCAGGTAATGACACGATAAGACAATTAGTCGGCGCGCAAACCACAAAATGGCCCTACATTTGACTGGTAATGTATGTACATCATTGGAGTTACTAATATATCTACATAATTGCTCCATTTTTTAAGCGTTTTAGCTGATTTTTTTTATGGCTAACTTTTTTGTTTAAACCTAGTTTTTTGTCGGAAACTATCACCTCATTTTCCATTTTTTTTAGATGATATCTCACCTTAAAGAAAGCTAACTCTTTCACCAATTTTTAACAGGTTTTCTTCGGAACGGATCTGTAGATTTCCTCAATTACCACCAAAATTTATATATTTAAAAATAAACGAAATATTAGGATCCTTTTATCATAACGTTTAGTAAATTTGCATAATTTGTTTTTGAAAAATTCTTATTTTTTTTTTAAAAAAAAGCTGGTGACCCATTTAGAAGCTTATTGCTTTTCGCTAAACCACAACCTTTAGGTCCTAAAGGATTGAAATGGCTTAAATTGCACCTAGTCAACCTTACCGGCACCCAGAAAAAGTATTTTTGCAAAAAATGTATTTTTTTTAGCTGCACTAAATATCTTTTTTAAATAACAAGTTAACCATTTGAATAATAGTGGGTTTTTTTTAGAAACAAACAAAGATAGATCTGATTTTATTTTAGAATAATAAGTAATAAGCTTAGAAATTTTCGCATACTAAATGCTATAGTGTTGTTAAACGGTTCGATTTTTGAAAATGACTAACCCAATATTTTAGCCAGAAGTTATGCAAGCCTCGAGATTTCGTTAATAGATGTCCAAATCTCTCAGCCATCTATGAGCAATATCTCCAGGCTTGCGTAATATTTTTGGCTAAAATATTGGGTTACCCATTTTCAAAAATCGAACTGTTTAACAACACTATTAAATTCTTTCAATCGTCCCACTTACATACACTATTAGAACTAGTGTTGTTAAACGGTTCGAGAATTAAAAATACCAAACTCAATATTTTATTTAAAACTATTACGCAAGCCTGGAGATTTTGCTCATATAGACAGGTTTGGACACCTATTAACATTTTTCGGCTAAAATAATGGGTTAACCGTTTTTTAGATGTCCAGCCGTTTAACAACGGTAGAACTTCAAGGTTAAACAAGCGCTCGCTGGGAGAGGAATATGTGATTCATAATATACCATTAGCTTCTGTATAGAGGATATATATAAAATCATATGATATATTTTTTTAATTTAAATATTAAGTTTGTATTTAATTTATTCTTCTACTAAAATTAGGAAATCTATAAAAGAAAGAATCGAATATATCGATAAAATGTTACCCACTATTATAAACTGTGCTGAGGCGCCATTAAAGGTAAACATTTAATAATAAATTTTTTTTTGTAAAGAGGTTTATTTTTTTCCCCCTTGCTTTAGATTATATAAGCTTGTGAATAATAATTGTTAACACATAGTCTGAGACATGCAGATTAACTGTTGTATATTTGAATATAACAACATTCTTACCTTTTGATTTTATTATTTTTTGATTAAACTTATTTTTGGATTTAACCTTTTCTTATTAACTCATTATTTATATATGTTCCGCATTGCTTTTACATCAGTAAACCAACCATGAATGTTGGAAATGAAAAAGTCAATTTGAGAAGTAGTGTTGTTCCTCCTATAAGTTAAAGTATTACTTTCATTATGAAAGAAGAAAGTGTTCTCGATTTTAAGGGTAAAACTCCTGCACAACTCTAAAAGCTTCCTACTATCGTCGCGATTTGGTTGTGGAATGGCCGCATTCCCAATTACTCTATTATGTATGTAAAACTCCTCTTTCCCAATCCAAAACTTAAGAGACAGGATGACAGTACACGAAATTACACCGGAGTCTGTTTCTACGGAGACATGTTGGTCGTCCTTTAAGAGTATTCTATTTGGAGCCTGTAATGATCTTCCTAACATCAATAGTTCTCCCGAGGCAAGAATGGTTATCTGAAGACACAGTTCTCTTGATAGCTGAACTCAGGTCACTTGATAGAAGTAATGGTGCCCTCTGGACTACAATCCATAGACTCCTTAGGAGGGACAGAAGGATCTACATAGCAAAGAAAGCTTTCGAGATGACAGAGGCATGATGGAAAACAGAACTTTTGATGCCTATAAAAAGCTCAAACTTTTCTGCAATGCAAGAGTATTCAAGCCTCTCCCATCAATCAGACTGGATAATAATAAATTGATTACCGACCCGGATGAACAGATGGCTCTATGGTTGGACCATTACATGGAAATCTTTGATTCAAGGAGGCCAGTCGTATTTCCATCCTCTAGCCATAGCGCAGTATCATCTGACGCTAATTTTTCTGTGGCGGAAATAACTAAGGCCATTAATAAACTTAGGAACAATAAATCCCCAGGTCCGGATAACATCTTAGGAGAATATCTGAAAGCTGCCCCCTCAGAGGTTTCTCAGCTCTTGCTGGGACTGTTTAATAGGATTTGGCTTACGGGGAAGATGCCAGCAGACTGGAATATGACAATTTTTTATAACTTCCCCAAAACCCCGAATCATGTTAAATTTTAGGATTATAAAGCTATTGCTCTCACATCTATCGTGTCAAAGGTTTTCATGATTCTTATAAAAAACCGCATTCTTGCGTCCACCCTAATCTTCTGTCTAAGTACATCTGTGCCTACCGCCCAAACAGGAATATCAATGAACCTATATTGGCATTGAAGATATTAATACAGAAGTGTGAGAAGTATAAATTACCATTTTACTTTATCTTCGTTGATTTTAAGCGCGCTTTTGATAGCGTTATTCACGATACTCTGTGGGCAATCCTAGAAGGATGTGGCATTGACGGGAATATCATTAAGATTCTCTAGACACATTATAGTAATCTCTTCGCCTCGTTTAAAATCATTAATAAAGTTTCTCCCCCCTTTAGAACAAAAAAAGGAGTAAAGCAAAGGTGTGTCGTCTCCCCGCTGTTGTTCAATATAGTTATGAATAAAATAATTACAGATTCGCTGTGAGCCACAAATCTTCTGGAACTTGGATTTAATCAGCCATGGTTTTTGGAAAAAAGGGTGATTTGTTATGCAGATGACTTGGTGATGATTGCCAAGAGCTTGGAGGAGGCCCATAATTTAGTCTTGATACTTAATTCCTTCAGCTTAAAGGTTGGATTGGATATTAACTTCGATAAGACGGTAATTATGCCATCATCTCACGCGCCCCCCTTTGGTTAATTGGATGGTAGGGGGAAAGTTGGTTAGGGTGGTGTCCTCCTATAAATAACTTGGGGTAAACATAGATAATAGGAGTAGCTGCCATGAAGAACTAAAAATCAGAATTCATAACGCAAGGGCTGCTTTTTATAAATATTCCAAACTGTGGAAATCCAGAGAGATATCGGTTTACACTAGGCTACGTATATTCAATTCCACCATCATCCCAATTCTCCTTTACGGCGGTGATATATGGGAAATTACGAAGACAGAGACCAGGAGATTACAGGCGTTTGTCAACAAATGTCTTAGAATAATAAATGACATTTTTTACCCCAACATTATCTCTAATGTTAACCTTTGGCTGAGGTCACGTCACACTCAAGTGCATGTGACTTTGAAAAAGAAACGTCTTACCTTTTTTGCACATATTCTGAGGAATCACACAAATAATAGCCTGGTCCTGGAGGCGATAAAATGGTTATACTCATTCAACGGCAAAACCTATAGGAAATATAAAACTTTAAGGTTCTATAGGGCAGTAAAGGATATCATGGATTTAAATCTTCACACGAAACAGTTTTTAAGGTTGAATAAAGATAAGAAATCAATAAAGAAACTGTTGAGGATCAAATCAAATTATTTGAATCTCCCATAAACTCCTCCTTGACACAGGTTATTTTTACTTTTGTATCTTCCTTTATTTTACTTTCGCTGCCTTTTCTCTTATCTCATTATGTATCGAACTTTTTTCCTTTTCATCTATTATTTGCTATCAAATTTCCCATCTTATGCCTTATGTACCGTGTGATTAAAGTTAGGTCCCCCTTTGCCTTTATAAATTATGTGTATAAGCATCTTTTGGGTAAGGGCTGTGCTTATTTTTGTCCATTCCTCATCAGCCCATAGACGTTTAAGTAATAGTCCTTGGACTATTACGCGTACAAGTACGTGCGGCTTGCCCACAAACGTGTGAAGGGCTCCTCATTTTTATCCCCATTTTAATTTGTCCATTCAGATGGGTTATGAGAAAACCTAACGTAGCTCTGTTGTATCCACAACTAGAGGGCGAAAACGTTTTATATCACGTATCACGTAATTTAATGAAAATATTCTCTATAAAAGGTTAAAAGATTTTTTTTTTATTATCACTATTTATATTTCAACAAACTTTCCATCTCCATGTTTTTTTTCAAAATAACAAATATCCCCTGGACCATGTCCGTTTATGACATACTATTTGAATTGACTGAAAACCCTGATGTTAATTATTTTCGCGGGTCTAATACAGGAGATGTTTTTTTCCAGTCAAAGTTGAAATACTACGAAGCTCTTAATGGGAAATTTTATATTTTTAGCGACTCGGAATTTATCGAAATCTAATTGTATCTTTTAAATTATAATGCATTTTGGAAACATTATTAATTATTAAATAAAATAAACAATTTATAAAGTTGATGTTAAACCCACTGATTTACCATATAAATTTCCCAAGTTAAGCGGACCTTTAACTGAAGTGTATATTGATCTTGTACTTGATTATTTCACCACCAGCTCATCAGAAACAATACAGCTCCTAAACCACATTTAGATGCGTCAGTCGCTCCGATAGGTAATTCAGGATTAAAATAAGTCAAAGCTGGAGGAAGACTAATCAACCTCTTTAGATCATTAAAGCTTCTAGAGTGTTCTAAGTTCCATGCCCATTTTACTTTGTTAACAATTTTGTATAAAGAATCAGCAATTTCCGCAAGTTGTTTAAAAATTTTCTATAGTAGCCAGCCATTCCCAGAAATGTTGATAATTCAGCAGCTGATTTTGGTTCAGGCATATTTACTATTGCTTCAATTTTGTCGTGGTTAGCGTGAATCCCCTTGGCGTCATATTATGGCCAAGGAACCTCATTTTATTTAAAAAAAAAATGCTTTTGGTGAAGATAGGTACTAACCCGAATGATGATATTCTTTCAAACACTCTTTTTATGTTGTTTAGGTGAGCATTTTTATTTCCGGTTATAATTAAATCATCAATATAAAATATGACATCTTTCATATGACCGAAGATCTGGTCCATGATCTGTTGAAAGATTGCAGATGAGATCTTTAGCCCAAAAGGAAGTCAGGTAAATTGGTAGTATCCCTTGTGTGTGGATATAGTCAAAATATTTCTGCTATCAATCGGAATCTGTAAAAAAACACTTTCAAAATCGATCTTGGTGAATTTCTTTCCTGCCGAAAGTTTAGCTATTATTCATCATTTATTCGTGGAAGTGGATATCTTGAAATCTTCTAGAGCTGGGTTTACAGTGTCCTTAAAATTAATGCAAAGCTTAATGCTCCCATCATTGTACGGCGGTAATAGGACTTGCCCAATGAACATCTTTTACCGACTCAAAAATTTTTTCTTGTATCCATTTGTTTAGTTCTTTGCCCACAAGATCAATCTTTGCACAGGGTACACTTCTTGGTGGTATAATTTTAGGTTGGGCATCTCTTTTCAAATATAGTTTGCCGTTAGCTTTGTTAATAGGTCCCCTAGTTGATTTGGATTCACAATCTTTAATCAGTTTTAATATTTCATCTTCGTAATTGGTATCAATGTTTGCTATAAATTTGTTCAAGATATTTTTGAAGGCGTTAATCCTCGTACGTCCCAATACAGCATTTTTTTCTTGATTCAACAACCACTACTTGTAAATATTTTGTGATGCCTTCATAATTTACTTTAACTTGTGTAGTACCGATGATCTTAATTAAGTTTCCATCGTAGCCTGTAAGTTGCAACTTGGATTTTTTAATATCTTTAATGTTAACTTTTTTTTAGCTATTTCGTGAGGTATGATGGTGAATTTAGAGCCTGTGTCGACTTGCATCGTTGTTGTATCATCATTTATTTTTAAAGTAGTCATAAATGCATTATCATTACCATTAAGCATGTCCTCAGTTATATTATTAACGTTAAGATCATTATCATTATTATTTTTTGTAGTGTCGACTTTATCTTCAATAATTTCTTGAATATTCATATTACAATTGTTGTTGTATTGATTTTCGTCATCATATTGTATTTGCTTTCTCTGAATGTGATCGCTTCCTCTATGATTATTTGAGTTGTTACTATAAGATCGGTAATTATTGCGATTTCGATCATCGTATTGGTTCTGTTTCCTCTGATTATAATTATGCCATGTATTATTTCTACCGCAATTATATGAGTTGTTGTAATTAGATTGATTATTGTTGTTATTGCGATAGTTACTATAATTGCTATTATTATAATTATCATGTTATCTAAAATTATTATTATCGTAATTCCTATTCCTATTATAATTATTATCATATCTATCGTCATAACTTTGTCTAAAGTTGTTTCTAAGATTGTTATTAGGTCTATAATTATTCTCATTCCTATAATTGTATCTAGGAAAAGTATTATCGGAATTATTTTGGTTAAAAGAAGATTTAACTAGACTCTTATGTTCATTGTTTTTTGTATTAACATCTCTATTTTTATTGGGCTTTTTATCATTATTCACATAATTACGTTATCAATTTTTAAAATTGTTATCCTGTCAAAGAATAGTTATGTCTGTTATGTATTAACAATCTATTCCTAATCTGACTAGCTTTTACTCTTATTGGGTATCACACTTGATCCAACTCATTTGTAGTTCTAGACTCTGTATTACTTTCTTAGGGTTGTTGGCTGTTCTCCTTTTCCTCACCTCTTTGTTATCGTTTAATACATTCTCTTCGTTTAGGATATCTTCAGTTCTCTTTTCTAATTTAGTCCTTTTCGTTTAATATATCTTCGGTTCTTTTCCGTAATTGATCAATATGATTAATTATTGGTTTCCCTTCTATACTTATTTCATATCGTTTTGATCCTAGTACTCTTTTAATGCGCCACCGCAGATTTCTATTTATTTCTAAATGTTGGGGGTAGTATTCTAGCTTTTCCTTCTTGTTCACCACCCTTTCAAATATTTGTTCTAGCAATCCTCTAGATTTAATCTATAATAATATTTCTGCTGGGCTTTGTTTATTTTCTGCAGATAATTGTAATAGGAAAGAAGGTTTCTATTCATCCTCCGTTTTTTTATTGTCGCTATATTATAATTAACCCTTCCTCATACCGCTCGTTTGTGAATGATATGGACTGGTCTCCCAAGCACTAATTGAATTCTATTTCTTTCACAAAAACCTTTGAATTCTTTACTCTTGAATTGTGGCCCGTCATCTGCAGATATTTTCTTTGGAATTTCGAATCTGGCAAAAATATTTATTAATATATTAATTCATTTATTTTGGTGTTTTTATTATTCATTTGGAAATAAACTTTTTTTCGACTAGGGTTGTTTAAACGGCCCTATATTTGGATCGGCCCGATTAAGATTTTAATCAATAGAGGTCTAACCCTTTCTGCAACTTATAAGCAAAATCTCCAGGTTTTATTAATATTATTTTGGCTAAAATCTTAATCCACTATTTTCGACCTTTTTTTTTAAATTTGAAAATTTTTAAATAAATGAAAAAATTATGATCCCTTACTTTTACAATGACGTTTTTTGTAGAATTTGCCAATATATTTAACAGAGTCCTGCAGAAATACCACTAGGACAGCCCGGTCCGAATTTTTTAAAAAAATATTATATTTATTTTTAATTTTTATAGTTAATAATGGCGCTTAAAATATTTGGTTACGGCCGGGCTTAGGGCCTGGCCTGCAGATCTCTGGAATTTAATGAGAAATATTTTTACAAAAATGTTTGAGCCCTTAAATTTGCAGCCCGGACCTTTATATTCAACAAATATCAAGCCGCCTTTAGAGGGCATCATCGGATCATTATTAACGCTTACCTTGATTTTCTTTAAAATTATGAAGGGATCGAGAATGGGATAAACTTAAAAAAAAATAAAATATTAAATCTACTTTTATAGGAAGGAAACGATTGGTGGATGAAAGCGGATGATCCATGGCAAGCCTTGGCCTGCTGCGCGGAAATATCCAAGGCCATCAAGCATTCAGATCATACTAAATATTTATGCCACTTTCCTATCCATCAAGTAAAATGGGTATTAATATAGATTTGGGAGGTTACGCTCAGAATCGGAAGAGGAATTAATTACAATTTTAACCAATAACCTTTATTTTAAGATATTTGAATAATATAAAAAAGCACATTAGTTATTATCAGTACAGTTGAATAATTGCACTATTTTTGGCCTATTTTAGCCGACTAAAAATAGTTTTAATCTAATAACTGTCACCTCCAACTCTCGTTTTTTTGGAAAATATACAACCTCGATGAAAGCATAAACAAATTAGCTCGTGTCGCAATCGAATTTTTTTCGGCACGCTTATAGATTAAGTAGAATTATGCGATTTTTTTAACCCATTATAGATATCCGTATCGGTGTTGGCGGACATTAGAAAATATTTTAAGAAAAATTTACTATTGATGAAAATCGAAAATTCTTTGCAACAAAACATGGAAGATGTTAATAATACAATTGAGATCATAGTCAACGTTGCTTTTTGAATATTTTATCAAAAGATCTAAGGATATTAGAAGAGAAAATATAATTCTTACGACTTCAGACAGTGAAAGTGGAATAAACCAGATAAAAAAATGCAAATTATAAAAGGCCTTTCATTTTTTTCCCTAGATGGGGAAAGGCATCGCCTATATTGTAAAATTGATATAAATTATAGTATAAGTAAATTTACATACTAAAAAAGGAATTGGATTGTTCTAGTTTTTTTAGTTTTACATACAGAATACTTTTCTGTAATACGATTTGTCCCGGTCCTGTAATAATTCAAACATAATTTTAACACATGGTTTTAAAAACGGCGTCCAATTTCTTGCCTATCTTTTAACGTTACTTATTTATCGAGTAGTGTTAAGAGAGTAAGCTGGGACTAGTCTACTATTCAAAGGAGATGGGATAAATGGTATACATAATTGGCGTTATTTAACATTGAATCCTGCAATGACCTTTTTATTTGTTTATAAAATAAACATTAAAAAATATATACACATATAGGACGGTTCTTGTAATGGCTTGCAACACTATGCCGCCCTGGGTCGGGACCAAGATGGGGGAAGTCAAGTCAATTTAATACCCAGTAATCGACCTCAAGATGTTTATACTGCCGTTGCGGAAAATGTAAAACTTTTTTTTCAAAAATTTTTGTTTTATAAGGTTTTTAAAAAATTAACAAATAAAATAATTGGGAACTTCCAGCAGATATTTGTTTTCTCTACGTTCTTTTACCACTTACATGTTAATGTATCGATTCTTAAGATAACTGATAATTAAATCAAGATTCATGATTTATTACCGAGAGAATTGACCATTTTGTTTTACTAAATTTTTTAATTATCTATGTATATCAAAAACACAAAGGTCGAAATATTAAGACAAAAAGATGCTGAAAGTGGATCTGAAATAGCTATTTTATTGGAAGGGAAAATAACCAGAAAGGTATGAAATGTATTTTTTTTTGAGCCTTATAATATAAAAAAAACTAAACATGAATTCAAAAGGCATATTTTTAAGGAATATTTTGTGTCTCTGGCATTTTCATTTTTAATAAGACAGTTGTATCTGGATAATTTTAAAAAAAACTTTTTTGTAAAGTCGTTATTAATAAATAATCTGAAATAGATTTTTCTTATGATATATTTAAATTCATAAATCTTTTAATTTTTTGAAATCAAATACAAAGTAATTCATACTTACAATTTTTTGAGCCAAAATCTTTTCATACTTACAATTTTTTGAGAAAATCTTTGAAGATTTTTTTTTGATGAAGAGAGATTTTTGATTCAAATTTTACCTAAAAATGCCAAATAAAATACTTTATTATTAAACTTTTGTAAATTTCATGAATAAAAGGTTTCAAAATGAAATGAAGAAGATTTTTTTCAAACTCTTGCAAAAATTGAGCTTTATCATTGTATAAGTTATTTACTAACACCAATTATTTCGATGATCTGGAAAAAAATGGTTTAAGCAACTGTTTGTGATCACATAGGAATGTGTTATCTTTTTCTTTAATTAACATCGTAAATATTCTTTTGATATATTTAAAAAAAGTATTTGCCTCCTTTTTAACAGCTCTTTTTTTTCTTTAAAAGGTAGTCAAACAAACGGTTATGACTGTGGTTTATGGGGTAACCCACTACGGGGCAAAAGAACAAATAGCTCGACAACTCGAAGATATACCAGATTTCGATAAACAAAACGTAAAATCCGCTTCCATTTATCTAGTCGAAAATACTTTTGCCAGCATCAAAAAATTGTTTACCGCCACCAGGGAAATTCAAGTTTTAATATATTTTTTAAAAACTTTTGAATTTGGACATGATTTTATAAATGTCCTAAAATTAGTTGGTAGACTCCGACACGGTTTACCTGAGCTTTTATCTATATCTCTAAGTTGAGCCGCAACCTAAAAATTGAAATAAATTTTTAAGAATAAAAACTCGGCTAAGTTTAGAGTTGGCCAAAGTTAGAGATTAAAATTATTATTTTTAAATACGTTAAAACCTCTAAAGAAATATTTGAGTCGTTTTCCATGCCAAAATCAATTTTAAACTATTTTATATATTGGCTACCTATATTAACAGGTCACCTATTCCATGTCAAATTCAACAACTTTGGGCTGACCCCTTTCAATTTTGTAAAAAATTATAGGCACTTTATATATGTTCTAATAATATCTAAAACAAAATTTTACCTCACTCGGAATTATATTACCTGATATATTGGTTATTAAAGGTACAAAAATCGGCTTTGTTTTGAATGAAACTATTAGTTCCAATATTGAATCTAAATATTACTAAGTCAATAATTGATAATTATGTGGGAAATATCTAAATTAATTTTTTTTAAATATTGGTCATCTTTTGTCAATTGAAATTAATATTTTGAATGAGCTTCAATTTTTTTGTATGATGTATGAAAAACTACAGATGGCGCTATACGTTAACTAATAAATTTTATTAAATTTTTTTTTTAATGTGCATGATATTATTTGTAGATAAGATTATGCCTTGAAATGAAAAAAACCTTAAATTGCACTAAAATGTTCATATATAGCGCTATCTATATGTTTTTACACATTATTTGCTATATTATTAAAATAGTTATCTACCCGCTTTAATTATTGAAGAAATTGTTAGAAAAAAAAATTGAAAAAATGAAGATAATATTTCGAAATATTAATTTTCTGCGGACATAAGATAACAAATATTTAAAAACATTTAATTTAGATGTTTCTCTCATAATTATCAATTATTGACTTAGTTATTAATATTAGATTCAATTCGAACTAATTTAACTTTTTATTTAAAACTAATTATTTAACATCAGTTAAAGGTTAAAAAAAGCCAATTTTTGTACCTTAATAAGCTAAAATTTCTTTTTGAATATTACTAGAAATATGTGCCTATGAATTTTTTATCGAAATTGAAAGGGGTTGTCCGATACGATTTTCTTGTTCATTTGACATGGAGTGACCTATGATGGTTAAACTGGGCGATCAATTATTGTGAAATACTAATAAAATTTTACCTTTAAACTAAAGAGCAGATTCATATAATTTTAAAGCATTCATCATTTAAATGAAGGATTGGTTTACGGATTGTGCAAAGTTCATATGTTCCAACACGAACCTGACCCTCGAATGGGTGACACCTATCGGATTTCCTGTCGTTCAACCTTACAGCAAAAGGACTCAGATGGTTCTACCCAAGGTTTCATTTAAAAAAAAGAAGTTAACAATATTAATCAAAATGTTATTTTTTATATTAGGGGTTTCAGCATGAAACTGCATCTTCCCTTCAACTCAGATCTGGTCTATTCGAGTATTACTTAATATATTATTTTTTTTACCCCTTGTTTAGATAAAAGTCAAATTTGAATCGGTTTTCGAAATTATTTCGTGAATCTTGCTAATATTTTGGTATAATATAATATATTATTTTTAAAAAGAAAACCATTGACGAGAAAACAAAAAAATGCATTTCCTCCTAATTTTATCCATTCCTTAGATTCCACTCATATGATGCTCACTGCTCAACATTGCCAAAAGTATGCATTGCACGCCTTTTTTAAAAATATACCCCATGGATTATTTTTTAATGGGTCATTTGATAAAATATAATATGCCGCCTAGTAGTTTGTGAAACGGTTCGATTTGAGCCGATTTTTAAAAACGGCTAACGCAATATTTTATCCAGAAAAATATTACGCAACCCTAACGACTTTGCTCATAGATAGCACAAACGTTTGGACATTTATTAGTGACTCGAGGCTAGGCAATATTTTTCTGACTAAAATATTGAGTTAGCCGTTTTTAAAAATCGGCTCAAATTGAGCCGTTTAACAACACTACTGCATAGTATAAATAATATATCTAAAATTAAATTAATATTATGTTTTATATACATACAAATATTTATTTTATCTCTTCTATAACACTAATTTTTTTTGCGAATTATAAAAAATTTAAATATTACTATATAAAGAGCCGGTATAAATTTTGTGGCAGTTCATGATTGTTTTTGGACTCATCCGGCACACGTTGAAACTATGAATCAGGTCAATAAATTGTCTTCCTCTTATATTTTTAAGAATTTGTTAAAATTTAAAATTATTAATTATAAAACTTATATATTAACTTTTGTATGATTAGTCTGTTTATTATTTTATATGTATTGGATAAGTTAATTTATAAAAATTTGTATTAAGTATATACAAATTATATAGTTATGCCGAGAACAATTCGTTTTACTCCACAAGCACCCAATAATTGAAAATCTTTCACAATTTTTCGTTGAAAATTACAGTTATAGCAACGAGTATACATTAAACATTTCATTGCTCATTTTAAATATAATATACTATACATGTTCCTAATAAATATTTTAAAATTTTGTTTTTGCCAAAAAAAAAATTGATAGAATGAATGATTGATATTCACATTTTATTTTATCATTTTTTATTAACTGCTAACTCTATTGTGGTATTATTTATTAAAATTTGTTATGTTCATTTATTATAATATTCTCTTTCGTTAGATTTTTTTAAGCATTTAATGCTAAATATTTTAAATTTTAAGTTAATCGAATGTAAACGATTTATGAACTATTTTAAAATTTAAAAAAAATATAAGAGAAATATCTTCATCCCTCAATAAAAGCGGCGTTGTTGAGGATATGCTCAAGTTCAATCAATTATTGAAAAAGATCCCCCAAAAAGGTTATCTAAAATTTAGATCAAATGAATATTAATTTTTGTTTTAGGATCCTTACAAATAGACGATGTTTTAAAATCGACCTTCTTTTTTAGTTGATCTATCCTTTGAAAATATTAAAAGAATACTATTCAATTATTCTTGCAATATTAGGAAATTATTACCAATTATTGTACACAATGTTAAATATACAGTATTTATTTGTTAGCCATGACGAAATTTATTATAAATTTTATTGTATATATAGTGATTCCGATGAAATGTGTGCTTACATTCATTTATTCATTAAGATAAATTAGTGATTTTTTAAAAAAATGAAAAAATAGAAAGTTATATAAAGAATATGAATGCTTGATATATAATACTCGATTTCTTAGAAATGCGTTTGATAAATGCAAAGAATATATTTATCATATTATATTTAATTAAATATATATAAAAAAAACTAAGACTAAATTACGGGAATTAAAAGTTTTTATATAAAAACTATGTATTTTATTTCTACAATAAAAAGGAGGAAAATTTTAATCAAATCAAGATATTAAACATTAAATGGCAGATTTATTTGAGTTGATTTAATTTTAACGGGATTTTTTTTACATCCTTTTTCATAAGCATTAGAAATGGTTAAAACACGGCAAGAAAAACCTTTAATAAAGTTTCACTTTTATAATTTTTTTTCTATGTTACAAAAATAAATATTCAAGATGGTAGATTATAAATCTTTTTTTTAAATTTAAGTTTCTGGATATGCCATTTTATCCAAATCATCAAAGTACGGATGGATCAAAGCTTGTTTGGCGGATATTCGGTTACTTGGGTCATATATTAGGGTTTTCTTTCAGTAAAAAAAGAAGTTATTTTATAATTTTTCTGCATAAAAATGTAGTTGTCTCAATATAAAAGTATAAAAATCTATTGTTAAATTCAACCATATGATTATTTAAAAATGTAATTTTTATACTTTTAATAAATCTAGTCCTTCCTCGTCAGAATTCTTCATGATTCCAGGTAAGGCAAAGTTTTTCCAGTTGGGAAATGTAAGTTTAAAGTCAGGTAAATTTGTCACACCTTTCCATGTTGTTTCATTGGGAGTACTTAAAATTCTAAATTTGTTTTAAAACAGATAATTCGTTAAATTATTTAAAATATATGAAAATAGTGTTCGTTTTTTTTGAAAAAAATGATGCCTTTTATTTTTGACGAACTTTAAACGTGTTCCTTTTTTATGACGAACGCGTTCGAATTTAACGTTCGTTCAATTTTAAAAATACTTTTTATTTTTATTTAAAAAATTTAATATTTCCGAATTTTTTTAAAAAAAGTATTATTTATATTTTTTAATCGGCTGTGTATTTCCTTTTCACATTTCAATTTTTTTTAACACATAGTTTATTAATTTGAATATTGTTTATATTTTAATTTAATAGATTAGCATAAGCATGGATATTATTATTTAATCCTCATCATCTGATTCTGAAAATCCAAAATCAGATGAATTAGCCAAATATAATAAATTTTTTACAATAACATCCTATATGAAGGAACTAATTCAATGCTTACCAAGTGTAATGTGCCCAAAAAGTATTATATTGTCAAAATCTTCAGGTTCCAATTTAAAACAACATTTGATTGTAATATTAATATTTTATATAATATAATATAACTAAGTAAAATCATTAAATTTGAAGAAAAAATGCATTTGGAATATTTGACCCCAACAATAACAATAGTTATTTTAAAATTAAAAAATTAGTGGCCTCAAATATGGTCAACCATTGATAGACGCCGTATTAAATGGGATTAATAAAAGGTATTAAACCTATCACTCTCAATTAATTACATATATTTTATTTTTTTTAAAGATTTGAACATATATATGAAGCAGAGTTGTTAAAGGATCTAGATATAAAAATGTGGTATCTGTATCTAGATCCATTTAAAAAGTATCTTTTAACAACTCTGATATGAAGATAAATATGTTCTTTCTGCAATTATACATCCAGTATTCAAGCTTCAATGGCCATGGATAAAACTTCCACAGAACGAACCTATTAAAAATAAACTTATAGCGTTATTGAAAAATTGCTTTGAAAACCCTAGAAATGATAATGCAAGAACTGTTAATTTCGAGATATCCTTTTTTTGTCGAGGAAGTAAAGAATGGACTGGAGGAGGATAACTTATCTCTTATGAAGCAAATAAAACATTTTTAATAAATTCTCCACGTTAAAAGAGTTATTTATTAAGTATAATACCACAATCCCCTCATCTACCCTTGAGCTCGTTTTTAGTAAAGCTAATGCCCTATTAAATGCCAAGCGTTCCTGTTTATCAGATGAAAATTTTGAAAAATATTGTTATTAAAAATTAATAAGAATTTTTATAAATAAGTATTTTTATAAATAATATAATTATAAATTTAATATAATATAATCAAAATAAAACTATATTATTTTTTAACATGGCTAATATTGTGTTAATAAATATAAGACATATTAGAAAATTAAAAAAAAATTTATCATAAAATTTTGAACGGTTTATTAACGTGAACGCGTTTTTTTTGAAAGTGAACTTGAACGTGTTTTTTTAGAAATGTTTACAGCACTAGAAAATAGTGATGTAACTAAATCTTAATTAATGAGGGTACGGGGAGGGGAGTTAATTAAAAAACAAGGATCTGAATTGAATATGATAAACATCAACGAAAACTTGAGACCCATTAAAAGCAGGTTCGGGTTCAAAAAAATAAATAAAATAGAACATCTCATGAACTCAAAATATCAATTTTTTTTAATACATGATTTTTATCAACAGCTATTTGTTCAAATAATATTATTTACAATTTATTAAAAGTAAGAAGGTAACACAATAAATCTTCCAATGCGGTTCTAACAGTCCCAGTCTAACAATTTGGTGTAATTTTTTTAATCGATTATATTTGTTTTATAATATAGTCTAGGATTATAGATAAGTAATTGCACACTTCTGGCCAGTCAAAAAAGGGAACCTAAAATTATCACCTTAGTCATTTTTATTTTTTAAATATAGCTCATTTTAAATTAACCCACTGATAACATTTTAAGACTATAACAAAAATATTTCCAAATCCAAAAAAAAAAAATCAATTAACCCAACCCATGGGTTGGGTCAGTAAGTTTTGCAGACCTCTAATATATTGACTTTTTTTCAATAAATAGACACTACATTTCTGTATTTAATACTGGCAGTCTAAAGATTGTTGCACCCCAAAATTTAAAAGTTATAGAGAAGAAAATTTTTATGTTATGGATGTTCAGTAATTACTTTGATGTATTCAATTTATTGCTGAGACCTGCAGAGGTATCATTTGCATGGCCTGGCCACGATATTTTTAAAATATTTTATTTATTTATAATTTTTATAGCTAATAATAGTGCTTTAAGATATATGACCCAGCCCAGCCTGGATATTTTTTTAAAAATAATTCTCAGGCCTAGGCCAGGGTATAAAAAAAATTCAGGTGTGGCCTGCAGGTCTCTGATTTATTGTAGGATATAATAAGAAAAATTAATAGAAAATATTTCATTCATTCTCTAATTGTGACACCACAGGAAGTATAACATAAATATTTTTCAGACCAAGGGTTGAGCCTATATTTTACTGATGATGGACAGTCTGCCACTCTGTAGGCTTTGGTTATCAGCTAAAAAGGTTGTGTCAGTGCATCTCTAGTCAAATAGAACTTTTGGTCCATGAAGATCTACTCAGACCTTACTTTCCTTGAACTTTAAAAAACTCAAACTAGAGTTGAATCTGCTGCTATAAAAATATAAATGGGCTCAGGTCATTTATTTTTTAATGAATAATGGTAGATATTTGCGAACTACATCAACTTGATATTGTTAAATCTGTTCAACTTCTAAAAGTGTTCAATACTATATTTTTCTATTATTATTATTTTTCCACTATAAAAATAATTTGGACCAGGCCAGGCTAATAAAATTATTGATGGGCTAGTTTAGGTCAATCATTAATCACAAAAATCTTATTTTATTGATCAAATCCTAAAGCTAGTCAATAGTTATGAAATATATTTAAAAGAAAAAAATTATATTTTCTACATATTTTATGAAAATATATAAATATCTTACAATGAAATTAATGGTATAAAAATATTTTTTTTCAAAAGTGGTAGTTAAATGGGAAGAATGACTTGCCCTCCTAAAAGGTTTTAATTAATCTTTATTAGTGATTAAAAATAAATTCATATATTCATACAAATCAAATATTCTTTTATAAAACTAATTAATAAAATAAGATTACCTAAATATCCTAAAAAGCTGATCAATCTCTGAATCACCATGGAAAAGAGGCTTCATATTAATCATTTCTGCAAATATACATCCTATACTCCAAATATCAATTGCTCCTGAGTATTTGGCTGATCCTAAAAGTATTTCAGGTGCTCTGTACCATAGTGTTACTACCTTAAAATTTATTTAATATATAAGTAATAATTATAAAGGTTAACTTCATGTGTTAAGGTTCTAATTGGGATTCCAATAGCTCTAGCCAATCCAAAATCAGCAATTTTAATACCTCCATGTTCATCAATTAATAAATTTTGAGGTTTTAAATCTCGATGTATTATTCTTCGTTTGTGGCAAAATACAATACCAAGAAATATTTGGTATAAGTAGCTCTAAAAGACATTCAAAAAAAATTATTTTATACAATATGCCTTAATTAATTTGAGATCCAATTCTTCCCCTTTAGGTATTGAATCTAAATATTTTTTTAAATCCATTGATAAAAATTCAAAAACTAAAAAAAGACGTTTTTCATCTAATAATACACTTTCCAATCTATATTATAATTAAATTATTATAAAAATTATTAATAAACATACGTAACAATATTTGGGTGTTTTAATTCTTTCAAAAACGAAATTTCTCTAATTGCTGTAGATGGCACACCTTCATCTTCAGCCTCCAATCTTATCTTTTTCAGGGCAACATATTGGCCAGTCAATTTATTTTTTGCCTTATAAACAACACCATATGTACCTAATATTTAATATGTAAAATAATAAACATTGCAATTGCACCTTCTCCTATTTTCTCTATTTTTATGTAAGCGTCAGTCGACATTAATCAATCAATAACGCATTTAATAATTGCTAGTTGTTTGGCTTAGGTTCTAAAATTTCAAATTTAAAAAGACCGGTTTAGGTGGAGTTGATTCATCTATTTTTAATTTTGAGAAAAGTGTTAGGTATTAATATCATTCTATATTGTGAAATAGCTATGAAGATAAGATTAAATTAATTATAGATTAATTTAATATCTATATAAATGATCAATTTTAATATAAATTTGAATGGGGATGAATCTTATAATTAGAAAAATATATATTTTTTATAAATAATTAAATTCAGTGTTTAATCATCTATCTACTGTAGTAGATTTTAAATTCAAAAAATTGCATCATATTCGCCCCCACCCCATTCCTTAAATTAATTTATTTGATTTTGCACTAGTAAATCCTCTTTCGGAGTTTATTTCTCACTTAAACTTGTTTTTATAGGTATTTTGAGTAGGGTGCTTTTACTGAATTAAAATAAAATGAGCATATGCTGCATGCAGATAAATAAAAATGGCTATATATAATTATGATAATTAATTTAACAGGAAGAAATCCCGTTTAAGCATAATCTGGTCTAATTCATACAAATTGAAACAATATCCATTGATCAATTAACTCTACGATGGTTAAATTGGTTTATAGTTAATTATCAATAAAGTGGTCTCGATGTGGTATATTAAATCTCAACCAATAAGTTCCCTTTTATGCTGACAATATAATCAATACGATATTACCTGGCGACGCTGCAGATGTGCTACGCTAGAATTGTTCAAACTTCCAATTTTAGCCTATTTTAAAAAATGGCTCGATTAAGATTTTAGTAAAAATTATATTAAGTAAGCCACAAGATTTATCAAATAGATGTCCAAATCTTTCTGCCATCCATAGGAAGATCTTAAGCTTCCATAATATTATTTTTAAAATCTTAATCAGACCGATTTTAAAATTATCCCGAATTTAGCTTTTAATAACATTACGCTACCAAAAATATCCGAGATGAGACAACAAAACATGATTATGAGACCCATGCATCTTCGTAACATAAAAAATTTTTTATTCCAGAGAAACCATATCTACATTTTGAGATCGACAATAGGTATAGACAGTGTCTACATGATAGAATATTTATTGGAGGCAAGTCCCTTTCAAAAACCTATATCGAATTAGACATAAAACTCCTCCTCTCATTTCCTAAGAATGCATTAATTATAGTATATTGTTTGGCACGAATATCAGCTTGCCAATTGAAGGTCTATTTTAAATTACATTTCTAAATATTGCATAAAATTATCCAAAAATAAGCTTTGTTTGGAAAATAGTTATTATAATTATATGGATATAGTATGGTCAATGTTTAACGATATTAGCATATTTTAATAGGTCAAGAATAAAAGTATTAAATAAATCTTTACAGCAATATATTTTGCCCTATTTTATCTTAAAATGTAATTGATAACCTTTCAATAAATTTACCCTACCCCTATCTTACTCTTCTAGTCTACCTTCCTAGCATATACCCCCCCCCCCCTCCTTCAATAAATTAGAGGCAAAAATTTTACCCCTCCCCTCCACCCCATCTATTATATAGATGCTGGCATTAGTTATCAAATCAGGTTATAATAGGAGCCAGACAGACGGATATCAGCAAGATTGTAATCAATCTATATCTATCCTAGATGCGACAAACTCGAATGCAGAAATAGTTGCTGCCGTTCTCTCAAGCTATAATCCTAATATAAAGAAAGTATATAAAATGGGTTTTGATCTAGGCAAGATTTTGATTACAAGACCAAACGGGAATCAAATACGGGGTAATAGGACATTCATCTGAATTTATGATTGATATTGACCTATTATAAAGCAAATGGCGAATATCATGGAATGAGGTACTGAAAATGGCAAGGTTTGGAATCACTAAATTAAATGGATTGTCCAGAAATGTCATAAAATATATTTAAAGTCTAAAACAATACCAGCCTTGTATATTATAGAAACTAAACAAGCAAACTAGTAAGTTATATTTCCGGTCATTTTTTTTATATGGAGTGGTAATAATAAATATTAATATATTATACTACCCATGCCATGAGAATTTTTCTATATTTTCTTTAATCTATAGTGTTTGATGTAATGTACAAAATTTCATAAAACAGCTTCAAGTATAATTTAAGGATATACCATGGGCAATGGATATCATATTTTACAATTAGACTTCAGAGTGACAATACATGTAATAAATTAACTAAATTATTACTAAGTGCATGCATAGAAATCAAAAAGCTCTATACATGGTGTAGATTATAGTAATAGGACAATACCGCAATCTTTCCCAAGAAACATATTTCACTTTAGCAAATAAATTAAACAAATGTCAGAATTCTATTAATTAGACTAGTAAACTAATAAAAATTGTTATGTAATCATGCAACTGAACAATAAAGTTCCAATGTACACTGAAACAATAGGATACGCGTATGTGACGTTACTCACATCAATATAGTAATAAACGACACACTCTCTTTATTCAATATAGGGGAAATATGCTATACATCAAAAATACCGGTAGACGTCGACCAAATTAACACCAAAGAACTATTTAACAATAATAGCGCAGTGATACTAAGGCCTTGCAGGGGCATCACTAGCCTTTATAATTTCAGAAGGCTCAGAAAATTATTAATTTTAAAATTACCCCCCCCCCCCCCCCTATTTTTTTAGTTAACATTAAAATTTTCTTCTTTTATTTATTTAGCGAAAATTACCTTTTTTTAAAGCTAATTAAGCTTTTTTCCGTGGTATAAAGAAATATTCAAAATTTTGAGGGGGCTCAAGCCCCTGCGCCCCCTCCCTAAAGTGTATGCATATACAACGTTCCTGGATTGGCCCGACATTTTTTCGATCTGTATGGCATAATTACAATTATTCATAATTTAGATCTATTATTGTATAATTTTTCTTGTTAATCAATTTAGAATGTGATTTTCGAAATAAAAGGTCGGTGGCAAAAGACAGTTAACGCCCGAAACTACCGTCAAATTACCAGATATTAAAAAGAAAGGACAAATTATTATAATTCGGGCAGTGCCATTGACAAATTTCTCTATATTTGGACCTAGCACTTATTTATAAACATAAATATTTTAAATACCAATTAGAGTTTGAAAAAAATCTTCAAAAAAATTTTAAAACAAAAATCTTTGAAATAATCTAAAAGAGAGAATACGAAATCGTTTTCAAAAATCTTATGTTGTAAACACATTACTTCAAAAAAGAAACGCATCATTATTTACGTTTGAAAAAAGAAGGTGCTATCCTTACTCGTTACTTTGTGAAAAAAAACATGTTACTCGCTATTAAAAAAAAGTAAGGCGTACTTGTTTATTTAAAATAAATATTAGATATTAAAAAATTTTTTTAAATTGTACACCTTAATTATTCTTCATATAAGAATTTTCATAATATTAAAAAAATATCTATATTGAAGCATAAATTATAATCTAAAAAAATATATAAATTAAGAGAAAAAACATTAAAAATATCGTTTTATAAAATAATTTTCTATTGAGTATGCACCCATGTATTGAGATTATATTTGACCTGTATATTACTAATATAATTTTTTTGTCAGATATACAATCTTTCCGCGCTATCCCAGTATTGTGGGAACTTTTCCTACCAAGTATTTTTAGAAATTTCAAGAATGGGTCCCCAAAATTACCAATAGTGATGCTAATTAACGGGATTAAATTATGGTTTCATTGACAGGTGTATTTTAATACATTATTAGATTCCGCTAACTATGTGCAATGGTTGTTGTTATTAGATGTAACGATCAATATTTGATCAAAACAAGAGCACGAATGCTCAAAAACAGCTTTCGTTAATAAATACAAGTTCAACTGGTTCAAAGGATGTGAGGGCTATATTATACTTAATAAATTTAAAAAAATTATTGTGGGAATTTATTTAAAATATTTAAAGAATGCTCTTTATTTTCAAAAAAACCTAATAGATCGTGTTCACAAAAATCTTCATTCAGATCCTTATCAATTGTTTTTTATCTTCATCAGAATTTAATACGAATTCATGCTTTTTTATGTTTTTAAAGATTTGAGCCGATGGACATCGAGGTTGAAATATTTGAATTAGGGCACAATCTACACTTACAAAGTGAGACTTAGCTCCCTTAATTTTCTCCATTTGGGTAAAAAAATGTTTCAACTGAAGCCAAGGCAGAGTTAAAAATAATATTCATCTGGAGAAATAATACTAATATGACATATATTCTATATAAAAATTAAAATATTAAAGAATAAAAATCAATATACCTTGATTGATTTAATATCAATCAGATTAATAATCTTGACCAGGGATGCGAACCCGACAAAATTTTTGCCAGGGTTCGGTTCGGGTTCGGTTCGGGGTATAAAAAAAAAGGTGGGTTCGGTTCGGGTTCGGTTCAGGGAAATATTTTTGAACCCGGGTTTGGTTCGGGTTCAAGAATTTTTGAGTTGATAAAAAAAAAATTCTATATTTAAATCATAATAAAAAACTAGACATAAATTTGATATAAAAAATAAATTTTTTATTTTATTTATAGGCAAATATAGTTAAAAATACAAAGCTATAGTCATGTATCAATTTTAAAAATTTTATTTAGACGTATTAGCATAATATCTTCCAAGAGTTGTTCACTCATCCTCGATCTATGTGGTGAAAGAATGAATTTCAAATGTGAAAAAGATCTTTCAACGCTAACCTATGTTAAATGTATTTATATGTGAAAATATGAAAAATTAACTTGGGTTGCAGGAACAGCAAATAAGATTTTAGATAAAATATATAATTCAGGGTGTTCCAGCTTAGCAGACTCCCAAAAATGCAAAATATTTTCCTTCTTATCTAATCTTTTATAATCGCTAAATCCAGTAATTATTGTTCCAATACTTTTCTCAGCAATCGTTGGCCCTCTTTTAAATATTTTCTCCTGCCTTTCTTTAAGTTGTATCAATTTCTCTAAATCATCTTCTTGTTCAATAACTTCATCGGAACTAATATCATCAGATAAAATCGGCGTTGTTAAGCTTTTAAAATTCGTCTCCATAAATTGACAAGATGTTTTTTCGCACAAATCTTATCATCATCACTAAGTAATACCTGTAATATTTAAGGATTTATATTGTTTATATTTAAATATTTCATAAAATAACAATTTTAATATAAATCTAAAATAATTAATTTACTAAGCTTTTAATTAACCTTGTATCTTGGGTCCAGGTATATGGCAGCTAAGAGAATTTCGTTCTTTATAAACCTTTCTTCTCTGTTCTTAAGACAAGAATATAGTAATTGAGCAAAATGGTTTGGATTTTTTTCCAGTTCGATGCAGCATCTTAACCATGCTGCATAAAAATCTGTCAGTGTTAACTGTTCAGATTGGAATTGTTTGGTTGCGATTTTTAGCGGTTTTAAAATTTCAACAATCGTTATTATCTCTTTCCAATCTTCAGTCAATAAATAATCAGATTGCTCTGTAAAAAAATCTTCGATATTGGGTTTTAGTAAAATCAGCCTTTCTAACATATCATGGGTTGAATGCCATCTGTGGCAATCTAACACAGGCTTAGGGAGTTTCATATTTTTTAATAACTTTTGGTAAGTGGGATGATGTCTTAATTTTAAATTTAGGCTCCTAGCTTTTGCAATGGTTTCCACAATAGGTGATAATTTTATAGCATCTTGAAGTGCCAGCTGAAGTGTGTGAGCTGCACACCGTACACTATAAATCGGATAGGATATAATAGTTGATAAAAAAGTATTTTGTATATCATCAATATCATATTTATATACATTTACATCCATATTTTCCTCATCTGCTGATTCACTCCTTATATCATAATCAGTTTCAGATTGCAGGAGCTTTATAGCTCTTAAAAAATTACAACCATTATCAGAAGTAATTGTGTATATTTGTTGAATATTAATTTTAAATTTTAGTAAAGTTTTTAATATATTCTCTTTTATATATTCTCCTGTACATCTCTCCTTCAGCTCTACAATTCCAAGAGTCCTCAAATTTATAATGGACTTTGATATAAATTGAATATTTACACCAAGAATTGACCTATCTAGTCGTTGAACTGCATCAACTTTTAAACTTATTAATTTTCCTTCTACCTCTCTCGATATTTTGTCTCTAATTGATTGGGCTGTTTTATTAATAGTTCTGGATAAATTTTTCTTTGTTTATAACTAAATTGAGCCCAGATAGGAGTGGATTTATAATTCTTTGAAATCCCGAATCTTCAATAATTGATAAAGGCCGGCCATTTACAGTAACAAGTTCTAGTATAGAACTCATCAAATCATTAGATGATATATTTATACTTATATGCTTTTTTGGAAAAAAGGTTTCTATATTAATTTTAGGTTTTTTTGCCATTAACAATTCCTGATATTTGGTTTTTTCATTTAAATAATTTAAATATTCATTGTTGTGATTTCTTTCCAGGTGTCTTTCTAAATTTGACAAGTGATTACCAGACATTTTTACTTTGCAATATGAACATATTGATTTTTTTTCTATTGTATTAAGGGTAAAATGCTTATCAAATATGACTTTATCTTTAATCTTAAATCTATAAAAAGAGAACAATTTTTTTAAATAGCAATGATTTCAGAATTAAAAAAGAGATATTTATAAATTTAATTTCATTTATAATATGCACTTCATTAATATCTTGTAAAAATTAAACTGAACCAAAAATAAATGATTAGCATATATAAATTTTAAAATCATTTTAATAAGTTCCACAAAAACTGCCCTACATTTAACAATTTTTAAGTTAGATGTTTAGAATTTTTTAAATTAACAATATAATAATTTTTACTTTGATTTGTTAACCATTTTCTTCTAATTAATAATCTTTAAGAATAATAAGATAAAAATTTAAAAATAAATGGCGTAAATTAATTCAATTGTTTAAAATTTTTTAACACTCCAATAGGAATCGAGAATAAATTTAAAAATGGCATAAATGAATTAAATTGTTTAAAATTTATTAAGACTTCATTTAATTGGAAATTTGAAAATATAATATTTGTATTTACATATATTAGTATATGATTTTAAATAATACACTGAACCCGATTGAACCCGGGTTCAAATAAAATTCTTGGGTTCGGTTCGGGGTTTTGGAAATTTTATAAATGGGGTTCAGGTTCGGTTCGGGTTCAGAGTTTTTTCTAAAAACCCGGGTTCACTTCTCCGGGTTCGGGTTCGGTTCGAATCCCTGATCTTGACTATAAAATTCAACAATAAAAATGTAATAAATAAAATAGAAATGAAGAACTTTGGTGGTTGATCTCAATTAAGAACTCGATTTAAATTATTTATAAAACTTTAAAAAAAATATAATAATTAATAAAATATTTTTACCTATTTTTTAAAAAAAAATTAAGAGTATCTAGGAACATTTTGCCTTATAGTTATTCAAAAAAAAACGCATTACTCGTAAAAAGAAATGCATTATTCGTTACCTTTCAAAAGAAGTAACGATTGGTGTTCTTTCTTAAAAAAAAGGTAGCGCCATTAGTAACGACGTTATTTTTATCGACATTACTTTTTTGAAGATTTTTTATCAAACTCTGACTAATAAATTAATATTTTAAATTAAAATTTGATTTAGTTAAAAAATAATTGCCTTGCCTCCCAATATTTGTCATTCATTTTGAAATAAAATACTTACAATTTTTAATCATGTCTTTTGTACAAATATAAAATGATGTATAATTATATTGTGAGATTTATTTTAAAATTTAAAATTTAAAATTACAAATAATGTGAAATAAAAATACACATAAAATATATATGAACGGTAATAATAATTTTATATTAAGATTATTAAAGTCTATAAATGGGGAGAATATAAATTATTTCTCATTTTTAAGCTAACAGCATAGCTGACCTTGCCTAAACCATCAACAAAATTTATCTTTAATGAAGCATTGCTATCTAATCCAAACGAACCAAATCCGCCAAACTTGTCTACATCTGCTTGAAAATATTTGAACATGTTAGGAGGGATGGAATTTTTATGAGGTGATTTTGGATCAATTCTAGAGCCCGATCCAAATACAAAATAATGCATTTCATTAGGAATGGTTAAATTATTTATCGGTTGAGTAACGTAATTTTCGGATAAATGCTTTTTTTTGTATAAATAATAATATTTGAATAACCTAGTATCACAAAAAATTATAGGTAAAGAAAGTATATGTGTGTGAGAATTCATCTTTTTACACTTTTAAATCACTTCCTGAGGAACTATTTTCAGGCCGGATTCTAGGCCTATTTTGGGTAGTGATATACAAAAGGGTAACTTGGTTTTATTAGGATATAAAAATGACATAACTGAAGGTATTAAGTTGGATTTTTTTAAAAAATATTTAAAAATATATCTCAATCAAATTTATTTTATTAATGTTAATATTTATCAGCTTTATACTGCTCAATCATTGGTAATTATCTTAAATACTTATATTTTTTAATCGAAACCATAACAAGCAGGGTTTCGAACCGTTTAGTATAACGGTTCGGTTCGTTCCGGTTTTTAGTTTAAAATTTTATAAAGGTTTTGTTCCATTTCGGTTTTTTAAAAAAATAATCATATCGGTTCGGTTCGGTTTATAATTTATAACGGTTCTTTTCGGTTTGTTCCGGTTTTTATAAATTTTATTTAAAAAAAAATTAATCATTAACCATGTATATATTAATTTTAGAGAAAAATCTTTTTATAATTTCTTATTTAATTTAACCATGAATGATAATCTAATAGATATTTTTATTAAACTTAGTAAATATAAATTAGACAAATCAATTCTTTTTATTTCATAAATAAGATAAACACAAACATGCGCAAATACAATGAGGAATATAAAATAACACATAAATATAATAAATTTATATTATTTATTTTAAAAAGAGAATTGGAACGGATAACTAAAATATTTTCTAATATTTCAGGATTTAATTTAGTTCTTTGCGCAGAGAGTATAAACTTAAGGCTAGAAAATGCTCTTTCTACGGATACCTGCGTAGCTGGAACTGCTAGCACAACCATAGCTAACTTATAAAGTTCTGGCATACTATTCTTTACATTTTCCCAATAATTCAAAAGATTTGCATCTTTTTCTAATCTCTCTATATTATCAAATGACCGAATTATATACTCTATTTCTACACATTTATTATAATTTTCTATGCCCTGAGAACTATTCTTATTAAGGCTTTCATGCGACATTAATAAATCTTCAAAATCATCATCTAAGTTATCTTTCGAATGTGAACACGTAGGAATAGTATCTAGATTTTCAATATTCTGATTATTTAAATTTTGGATTAAGTTCCAAGTTTTATAAAGATGTTTTTTGGCGATATCTTTTTCTTCAAATGATCAAAATACATTATATCTTGGGGGGTCGAGATATATAGCTGAGCAAAAAACTTCATTTTTCAAATTAATCTCTCGTGCTTTGATTGTACAAACTAAAAGTTTGGCAAATGAAGTGTCTATTTTGCTAGTTTGCATGATACATTTGATCCATGCTGCATAAAAATCGCCCATGGTCATTTGTTCACTTTGTATATATTTTGTCAAAATATAAGATGGATATAAAGCTTTTAATATATCACTAATTATTTTCCATTCATTCTCTGACAAACATTTTTCACGATCATTACTTTGGGCCGATATTTCTTGGCAAAACATTTTTAACTCTAATAATCTTTCCAACATTAAATAGATTGAATTCCATCTTGTGCAACAATCTATTCGTGGCTTTTTTAAATTTAATTTGGACAAAATAGACATTGTAGTCTGATTTCTTATTTTTTTGCAAATGTTTCTTGCTTTATTAATAATAACAATTTCATTTGAATTTTTTATGCAATCATTAATTGTTAATTGAAATGTGTGGGAGGCACATCTAATGCCCATTAACATGGATCTCGTATGAGGTACGTACAAGATTAATACTTTCAATATCAAAAAAAGGTTCTTCATTTTCATTAACAATTATATCATCATTGTTATTTAAATTATCATTATCTAAATAATCATTAAGGATATCATCTTCTTCATCATGATGTATTAACAGCTTGATTAATTTAATCATGTTAGCTGCATTGTCTGTGGTTATCGTATAAATTTGATCAATTCTTATTTCATGTTCGTTTAGAACATCTAGAATAATTTTTTTTAGATATTCTGATGTATGTCTTTCTTTTATCTCTTTCATGCATAACGTTCTTAATTTTATTTCTCCATTATCTATAAATTGAATATTGATCCCCAGTATGGACCTATCATATCGAGTTGCAATATCTAATTTTAACGATATAAGTTTTTGGTATATTTCTTTTTTTAAATTTTGCGAAAAATCAAATGCCATTTTTTTAATATTATTGCGTATATTTTCAGAATTGATGGTTAAATTACCACCCAATCCTACAATTATCGGATCTATAATATTTCTAAATGCTTTGTCATCAATTGATTTTATTGTTGGTCTCCCATGAACTGTGATTAACTCAGTGCAGGAGCGGATTAAAGTGTCTTTATTAATATTAATTTGTATTGTATTAGTTTTGGTAAAAGCATTTTGAATTGTATTATGATTATTTGCATTTTTTGTTATTGTTTTTTTAATAGTCAAATTATCTTCTTTTTTTTTTAATAATTTGAATTCCTTATCGTGGAATCTTTCTATATGTCGTTCAAGATTTGCTGCATGGTCCCCGGTTAAAACTTTACCACAGTTTTCTAGTTTACAAGTAGATTGATTTTTTACAATATCTAATTTAAAATATGATCGCACAGGATTTGACTTTTCCCGAACCATTTAATAGATACTAATATGCTATATGATGATGAATAGATCAGAATCTTTTATTATAAAAATAGAATAAATAAATTTCTTAATAGAAGCAGTATAATTTTTTATTTATCTTATCTGACAAGATCTCCCCCAAAAACGTGAATTATATGCAGGCCTACCCTTCATATAATTATGCCGATTTTTTCCTCAAAGATACTAACAACAAACCTTGGTACACAGATGAAACTAAATAAGTGAATGGAGCTTACTAATACCATTTTAATAAATAATTTGATTTAATAGAGAAAAGAAAGAAGCAAAAAGATAAGATATAAAATAAGAAGAAAAGAAATAGAAAAGCTGTTTAAAATTCCAAAAACAACTGTAATTAAATTAAAACTTTAATGGATACTTTATCATTTTATAATTATCCAATTGAATTTCATCTGTTTAAATTTTATTTGGTACTATAAGATTTAGAAGATTAATCAGTAAGTAGTTATTATTTCAAGAAATTATCCACTAAAGTGTAAATGTAAATAAATAAATAAATAAATAAATAATTCTCTCTCTCTCAATTTAAAGAATAGTCTTGTTTGATTTTAAGATTCTTATCTAATTAACTGGTAATTCGCCTAATCTCTATTAAATTGAGTATTGAGTATTTATTAAAGTGAAAAGAAAAAACAATAAACCTGGTGGTATTAATTGACATGTAAAAAAAATTCAATTTGAAAAGAAATAAAGAGTTTAAAAATTTCCCCAAGGAAAATATTCAAATTTCAAATTTAGGTTAATAATGTTTAAATTTAATTATTTTTTAAAACCGTTTTGAACCGGTTTAAACCGGTTTAAAATATTTATAACGGTTCGGTTCGCTCTTTTTATAGTTTCTTTATAACGGTTCGGTTACGGTTACGGTTCAGAAAATTATAACGGTTCATTCCAGTTTGGGGTTCGGTTCGGTTCAAAACCCTGATAACAAGTATTATGCACGATAATATTTGTAAAATCATTTCTTATTTCTTTCCAGTTAGAAGTCAATTCTCATCTTCTATATAATTTTATATTGACATATTTGATCAATGATCATAATTGCATTTTGTTTGATAATTTTTGGTGTTCTTCAAATAAAATCACTATATATTTCAATTTTGTGTTCTAATATCTCAAATATTTGTTCTATACTATTAAAAAATTTATTTAGCCCCCCCCCCCTCCCCCCCACTAACATTTGTGTATTTTTTTTTGATTTATGTAAAATTTCTATATAAAATATAAATTAATGTAAATAGTTGTTCAAAAGTTCACGGCACTCCTGTAAAATAAGACTTTTCAAATTTAAAAAATCCCCCTCAGGAAATGATTGAATCTATAGAACATTATATTGTGGATATGCCATTAAGTAACATTTTGTTGATACTCATAATAGTAAAAATATTTATTTTTATATTTAATATTAAGTTAACTAGCGACGATCGTTAACGTTTATCACTTAAACTATACATGCATGCATATGTCGCTCTCTAGCAAGGCCAGGGCCGTAGCAAGGAATTTCTTGCTGGGAAGGGGCAACTGCTTACTTAGGGAGCCAATATATTTTAAAAATAAAACAAGTAGTAAGGCACTCATAGATTGTTTGCTATTTTAATTAAAAATTTGTAAATGTAAATATAATATATGAATACAAAATAATAATCGGCGATTTTTTTAAAAAATTTTAACCTGTAAATGCTAAATTATGTGTTATTTATTTTTCATAAGCCATTAAAATACTAAATTTTGTTTACGTCGATCTCTCATCAATTCTCCGGTGCTCGATAGAACTCTTTTTGGTGTAGAGAATGAGGCTTTACAAGAAGCCCTTGATACCTTCATTATGATGGCTGCTGAGCAGCATTTATACAATTCTTTAGATTCAAGATGATGATTTTTTTATACATAATATTTACGATATTTTTATAATTATGCGTTTCTTTAACTTCTGCAGCTAATAATCCTTTTGCTATTTCTTTTCATGATGTATCCACATTTATGTTTAATGATTATAATGGAACCATTTTATCTTTTATATAAAACAATCTAGAAGATTATAATTATCTTGTGTAAATATATCTAAAAAACGATCAATAATCAATAATTTCATAATAATTTTTATTTAAAGAATCCAATTGGAGTCTTTTTCACAATCAAATTGTAATTGGTATAGACTAAAAATTTTGAAAATTTATAGGTGTTTTGTGTACCCTTAATGATTTTTGGGTGATAAGACTAAATTTTGTAAAAAGTTTTTCACCCTTAATTCTAATCAAATCAAAAGAATTATCGCTTCTTTTATTTTTGAATATATTATCATAAAATTAATGCAATTTTTAGCATCCACTATATTAGTACCTACTGATTGTAGATACTTATTTAATGGATCTATTATTATTAATATCTCATAAATTATAATGGCTAATATAACGTAATTTATATTAACGCATAGAGTTAAAAGACCAGAGGCTTCGACTGAATCATAAGTGGAAACCTCTGAATTAAGAGTTCTATTAGAAAAAAATAATACTTTATCTACAGTCTCAAAATCCTCATAAATGACGTGAGATGTTTCTAAATTACCAGTCCACCTCTAGTCTAAAAGTCTCTTAAGAGTATGACCTGCATATTTACAGGATACGTTAAAACGCCTAAAAAGCAATGCATTAGATAAATTAAAAAAATACAATATTATTATACCAAGGCATTTTTTTATTAATTTTTTTTAAGCAGGGTTTATACTCCTCCATTTCGTTCAGACATGACGTTTGCACCATCATATGCTTGGCTTATTACATTCGATGAATTAATACATAATTCATTAAGTTGCTTTAAAATAGAATTAATAATGCTTTCAACAGAATGACATTGTAAATTAATGATTCTTATTAGATTTTCTTAAATATCTCCACAAAAAATATAACAAATAATTATGCTCAGATTTAACTTGATGCATATTTTGTTTCATCATCATTAAGACAAAGACTTTTGTTATATTTTTCTGAGATATATTTTAACACCATATCTGCCATATGTTATACTTAATTTTGAATTTGGGGTGATGTATATATATTGTGCATTTTAAATATTTATTTCGCCATTTTATATAATTCTGGATCTTTTTCGATGGGAAAACATTGCTATAAATAGTCCAGAAGAATAAACTATGCTTTCATCTTTTGAAGCAATGATTTTAGTTGAACCTGTCCCAAGAAAAGGTAGCTCCTGTATGCTAAGAAGTAGCATCAAATCATAAATTAATTTAAGATAATAATTATTAGGCTTAATTTGCTGACTTACCAGAATTGTTATTCAGTGTCCTTATTAATATTAAGATGTTTATCATGCCACATTGTTATAGAATTTAAATGAGTTTTAATTTTATAAATTAATACTGTGAATGGATATTTTATAACTGATTTTTTTATAGGCATGTTCTTATTTCTTAATTTGTAAAAATTAAATAATATTTGTCTAAAAATTTATGTATTTTATCAGTTTAATTTGTTTATTGTGAATTAAAATTTACTATCTAACAATTTTTTTAAAATAATTTTGGGCGGCCATTATTGAGGAGCAATTTTTTTTCGAGAGCCCAGTTTAGGGCCTGACCCCCCCCCCCCCCACCCTCCCCGGCCCCCCTTCCACCCCCGGATCGCCCGTTGCTACGGCCTTGAGTCAGGCACTGGCAACCTTTGTATCATCATCAAATAAATAATTTTATTTAAACAATGGATATACCTGCTGATCATGATCATGTCCGCTAATATAGGCATTTACTCTGTGCTTGATTAAGAGAGGTCTAAGCTTTTTGATGAGGCATTTATCAGGCCCGTGATGGCCTATCGAATATATTGGGTAATGCCCAATTACTAAAATGAAATCTGCTCTTCATATTTGAATTTTAACATTTTTCAAAAATACACAAAAAATCTAAAAGTGAAAAATGTGCCATTAGAGGTTTGCAAAGTAATTTTTTCGCAACCCGAGCCCGAATTCAAATTTTTTTTCAACCCGACTAAATTTTTTTAAATTTGAGAGTGAATAATATAATATCCGGAAAACAATTAAAAATTATGTTAAATATCTTAAATAAAAGTTTATTTGATTGTCATAATATAACTATTACTTAAATTAATTAGCATTTTATTTAAATTGAAAACATATACCCATTATTCAGTTTAAAAAAATACAATAGAATTGAAAAATTATTGTTATATAAAAATAATGTGCGTGATATAATGAACATATTATAGATATATCAATTACATTATTAATAGTATCACATAGTGAATTATGATATTTAAAAAATGAGGAGTCGAGTTTGTCAGGCTTTAAATAAGTCCTCCTATCTTTAAAGTCTCACCAGCCGCTGAAAGTGCTCTATCACTGCTAGCTGAGGAAGCAGGGATATCCAGAAATTTAAGAGCCAAAACAATTAAATTGGGAAAGTCGTATTGATATGTCTCCTCCCAATTTAAGATTTGGTAAACGATTTTAAATATTAAAAATTTGAGACTCTTATTAAATAAATATTAGATAAATATATTTTAATTGACCTGATAGAATATGATGTAAATAAAGTATGTAATAATAACACAAAAATATAAAAAATTAAAAAATGACATGTTATTCTAATTGACATTATTAATTTTAAATGAATATTTAGGATATTTATATTTATTTATCGGGTCGGGCCGGACTTCGGGTCGACAACTAATACAATCTGACCCAAACCTGAAAATAAAAAGTCTTTTATGTCCGAACTCGACTTGAACCTCAGGTCGGGTCGGGCTTCGGACATCTTGTGCAGACCTCTATGTGCTATAACTCGCAAAGATTTATTCCTGTAAACGTTATATTCAATTATTGAAACTTTTGTTCATGTTTATTTTAGAGAAAAAATATCTTATTTTTCATTTTTTTAGTATTAATTCTCAAACTTTTATTTTATAAGAGAAGAATGTTACTATTATTTTACATTGAGGCATAAAACTTACGATGACTTGCTTAGAATTGATTTTAACCAATCCCAATGTTTATCAGTATCTTGGTCATCCCAGTCAACTCTAATAATTGTATTCGTTTCAATTTTATTTTGGTTTTCTAAATCCAGATAATACTTTTTACCGCATAAGATTACCGTGTCAACGGCGACGATTTGAAAATTTAATGGCTTTTCTTCATGTAGCGGATGTTTGATTTTGAAGGATAGCTGGTAGTAAAAATGAGGATATTTCCTAACAATTCAAGAGGCAAATAATTAAATTTTATCTTTTGCAGCATTATTTTTTAAATAAATACTCTGAGAAATGAAATAAATTTTTCCAAAACGTTATCGTTTAATCCTTAAAATTTTATAAACAAGATTCCTTACTCATTTATTATTTTCTTTTTATTTGCGAAATTTAAGTTTATATATATTTATATTGTATAAATAATTTAAGTTTCATTAATCCGAAAATGCTTTACCAACGCCTAGACAAAGATGTATAAGATATTTGCGCCTGAACACTTCCCAAATGATCATGATTACCGGCTATTACATACCACGGGATATTCAGGGTATCGTTTGAATATAAATCTTCGAATGAACTCTAAGAAGGGATTAAATATAACAATTATTTATTTTGTAAGTAAAATTAATGATCAAATTGTGTTTTTCTTTTTATAGCTAGCTACTCATTTATTCATAATGTACGTTTTTGAGATCTTTAAAGACTAGAGTTAACGTTTCATTCACGATATATAATAAAATTCTATATCTTGAATATTGGAAATTTTTTTATAAATTAGAGAAGGTAATTATTAGATATCGAACATAATCGAATTTCTTCTAACATTGTATTGATTATTAAATATGAGTGCACAAATAATATACATGTGTAAATAAAAAATTTGAATTCCGAATAGCAAATATTGTCTTTGATTATTATAATAAATATTATATTTTTTTTATTTAAGAGTTATGTAAGTTTTTTTCATTTTTTCTTAAAGGGTCGTAAATTGTGTCATATTTACTTGGAATCTAGAATCGCTTAGAGATTTGACTCCTTTATCATAGAAATTGTCACCCAATAAAATAACAAATTTCGGTGAACTTTTAAGAGCCCAATTCGACAAAGTTTTAGCGAGCACTCTTCCCGAATGTGAGGTATAAGGATATCTCGGTATACCTCCGGTATCTCCCATTGTCAAAAAGCTGAAGTTATCTGTTTTATGAATACGAAATTGATTAATGTTGTTTTAAAAGTTACTTGAAGAGTAACTAGCTACAGATTATTCTTAAAAATGTAACTAGTGACAATAAGAGTTACATTATTTAAAATTTTCCAAAGTAACTAGTACCGAATCAAATGCTAATAGTTACATTGCAAGTTACTTTATGAAACATTTATATAAATTTTTAGTATATTTTTTTTAAAATCAATAAATGAAAATAAAAATAAAATTAAAAAATAATAGCGCCTTAAAAATATATAAATATACCACAATTTGGTATTTATTCAAAAATAAATGGGCTTTTTGACTTTAACAATTAACTATTTTTTAAATCGGGATACATTTTAATAAAGATTAATTTAAAATTTGGATATTCATCATTTATCAAAAGTAATTTTTTGTAAAAATGTCATAGTTACTTTAACTACATTAAAATTGAACAATTTTTAAAAAAATAAATAAATATTATTTGGCATAATAAAATTGGTTGCATTTATGAGCGAAATCTTGAAGCTTGGGTAATCATTGGCAAAAATCTTAAAATCTGATGAATCGAGCCGTTTAACAACACTAGAATATTTATGCCCATAATTTTCTTAAAAACCCCTTCATGAATTTTCCATAGTGATCAATTTTTTTTAGTATATATTAAACATAAACAACATACAAATTTTTAAAACTAATCTTACCTCATAAAGAAAACAAATTTGTATTTTTTGCATCTACTCGGAAATAATGTTAAATCGGATGTTAGTAAAAGGGTAAAAAATTTCTTATAGATAAATAGTAGATAATCTAACATCTCATATTTATGCTATTTCTACCTTCTTCCTATTCCCATCCTTCTAAAATCATACCATGTCATATCTTGACAGGAGGTTGGGTTAATTACTGCCAAACAGTAACTCTTACTGAACGTAAACTGGTAGGCGCCCACAAGTTTAAATGAATTGATTTTTTAGATCAAATCCAAACCAAATACATTATAATTTCAAATACTTTGAAATTATTCTCATTTCAATAATTAATGAAATTACATATGTGTCATTTAGTGAAATACAATTTTTTTTCTTCAAAGTCCGAAAAAAAATGATATGACGGTAGTTAACCGATTTTGGGTCGATTTTTAAAAACGATTTAATTAAGATTTTATTTAAAATAATATTATGTAGGTCTCGAGATCTGGCAAATAGAAATCCAAACCTTTCTGACAAAATTTTCAGGCCTGCATAATATTATCTTGGCGAAAATCTTAATCGAGTCGTTTTTAAAAATAGACCCGAATAGGTCTTTTTTACAACCCTCTACGACTTCATTTGTCATTTATTTATATTTTTTATTTTATACCATAATTTTATAAACTCCGAAAATTTGCTTATTTTATTAAAAGTTGGGTTTTCCATATTTTATTAATTCTTTTACAGACTAGATTTGAATTTGTACACATTTCCACAATTTAATAAATTAAAACATATGTTTTATTGTATAGAAAAAAGTTCACGTACAACCTTATTATGAAATAAGATGATGTTACATCACTATTTTATCATTTAATATATATCATTCACATCACGTAGTAAAAGAACTTATGAAAAAAAATACAAGTTAATAAAATTTACTTATATTAATATGTCTGGGGATAACAGAATAGGAAATTATTAGTGAAATTGAGTCACAAATATAAATAATGAGGACGATACGAATGTGTGACAAATATATTTAACGATTTTATTGATATGTGTTTTACATCCTAAATTTCAGCAAGAGATGTCCTAAAATTTTTTCATTAGCGTTCCTAAAAATCAGAGACCTGCACATTTACAGTTAAATCATAATTTTTTTAAAAAATAATTTAATATTGGTTCCCCGAGAAAATGATTCGAAAAATAAAATATTCCGAATCCCCCGTGTAGTGTTGTTAAAGGCTTGATTTAACCGATTTTAAATTAAGATTTTATCCAAAATAATATCACGCAAGCTTCGAGATTTCGTTGATAGCCCAAACCTTTCGGCCATCTATTGGTTAGATCTCCTAGTCTAGATTTTATTTTTTTGGCCAAGATATTGGGTTAGCCGTTTTTAAAAATCGAGCCGCTTAACAACACTACTCCCACGGATTCCATATCCCAAAAAAAGTCATGCATACTATATATTGTAAATTTAGTATTAAGCATTATAATATAGCTATATGCTATGAACCCAGGGAAATGAAGAGTGAATTTGTTAAAGACCTGCATACGATATAGTTAAAATTGATAGTTATTAAAGTGCAAGAAAAATGTGTGATAAAATTTTCACAATTCTATTTTCTATAATAAAAAAGACCGGGGAGCATGCAAGCTCTAAAAGGCAAACGTCAATAAAATTAAAACACTTGATAATATACATAAAAATAATTTTTTAAAAAATTATACTTTTTTTTACAATATGAATGTTTCCAAAAATCTTTTTTAGGAAAGGATGAGCTACACCCGGGGAAGGATGAGCTTTCCCACGAGGTGATTTTGAGCTTCAAAATATTGATTAATTTAAATATAAAAATGATATATATATTATTGTAATTACTTTATTGAAAATAATTATAAAAAATTAGTGAAATTTATTGATAATAAAAACAAATAAAGAATGGATTAAAACAGGATTCATGCACCCAAACAAAGATCCATAAATATCTTAGATAATTATATAATATAGTGTCTTGCTCTTTCTTAAATATTTGTCTTGATGCAGACAATTTAAAATCTTGTTGCTTCATTAATCTTGAGTTATATATTTTACTGTTCATAACCTAAGTTTGCTTTCTCCATAACGGCTAGGACGGATTTTCATTAAATATATTAACGATTTTATCATTTGTTAGATGTTTCACTTCTAATATAATTCTTACACAAATATTAATAAAGAAAAATATATTTTTAAAATAACGCTCGGTTCATTTGAACCTATGAAAAGTAGCCCCAGACCTTCAATATCTTTAAAATTTAATTTTATCGTAGTTTAAACATATTTTTTATTCAAAGAAAGAATATTATATATAAATCTTTTATATAAGATAGTTATTTATTTGATAATTAAAACCTTTTATTTTTTATTTTTGATAAATTGCACCATAAATTTGAGGGTATAAATCATATATTGTGTTGTAAAATTTTTATATATGATCTGACATTAAAATAAATTATAGCCGCAGTATAATGTAGTTATGCATATTTGATGAAAAAATTAACCATTGGAGTTGAGTACTCTAGAAGAACCTCTAAGGCTCGCAAGAATCTCGGACCCATAAGATCCCCAGTCTCCCCTACTTATATATGCCAACGAGCTTAAACAATCTTGTCTCTTAGTCGAATATATATGTTTTAAGAGAATTTATAGAAAAGAATAATAATTAGACGAAATAGTTAGTGCTATCTTTAAGCTAATATCCTAATGAAAAATCCCCTTTTCATTGATATTATACAATAATAAAGTATTTTTTAATTTTTTAAAATTTTGCTGGCAAAAGGAGAAGGAATTCAACTAATGAGGGAAGTTTGAGCTTATGCTATAATGGAAGAATGCATTAATGATCAAATTAAGAGTATAAGGATCGATTGAAAAATAAATAGCGATTAACTGATAGAGGTTTAGACTTTCATTTTCTTAAAATACAATATATAATAGTATTCTAGATTTTTATTAAAATATGAATAGAATTTAATTAGCTGGGTTGGGGGGGGTTATGGCTCATTCCCATTTTAAAACTGTTATATATCTCACCTCACTCAAATTTCTATATAATTTTAGACTTATTAATTTAATTTAATCATAAATTAAATATAAAAATTTTAAAGATTTTAAATGAAAAAATTTATGAAAATATTAGTGTAGAGAAAATTAAGCAATGCAAAAATACTATATTGCATATTTTTACTAGAAAAATCCATTTATGACATGCAATTATTAAACATTTATTTTAATATAAAAATTAGTAAAAACTTGTTTTTAAATTTTTTTTTAAAAAAAAATAAGATTAAAAATTGTATTTTGTTTCCAATGTTTAAATTTTTTTAAATTATTTGCATGAAACTTGCAAAAGCACAGTTTAGCCATAAAATAGGAAACTACTGAAAAAAACAAGCCATACGGACAAGGTTTTTTATAATAAATTTTAAAAATCACTCAGTATTCCACTCCATGTTTAAGTGAATTAATAAAAACGCGTGTAGGGGAGATGGGGGACTCTTTCTTCAAATGAATGAACTCTTCACCGACACAAATTTTTAAATCTTTCTTCATCCCTAGCCGTAGAGTCCTGCAAATTGAAAACGTTGTTTCAGAGCACAAGCGTTATAAAAAAAACTGGTCCAAACCCGACTGAACTGAATAATATTTATCCCTAGAACTCATCCCTCCTGTTTTTTTAATGGGATATAAGAAAATTAGAAATGCATTAAGATAACAGTTTTACGATTGCATATTTTTTTTATAGGAATAGAATAATAATTTAATTCATTACTAATAATTATGGCCCCTTCGGACTGGACATCCTTGAAGGACTCTTTTTTATTTTGTGTCCGACCAGGCACTGCCCAGTTTAAGAAAATATATCCCTTCCCTTTTTGCCCTCCCCGGTGAAAATATTGATATATTTTTTTTTCTTACTTGAATCATATATGTGTTCTTCGCATTTTATATCCATTACGAGTAAAAAAATTAGAAAGAGAATCATTTTTTTTTCGAGATTTTGCTGAATTAAAACTTTAACAATTTGATTATTAAAAAATTGTTTATATTAATAGATAGACAGCGATGACTTTCAATAATTTAAATAAAATAATATTTATAAACGATGAGATTATTAAAATGAATTAAATTAATTATTTTTAACATTAAAGCATGTGTAAATTTAACTAAAATGTATATTATTTTATCAATTTATTTAAAAACAAAGCCATTTCTCGCTTTTATAATACAATAATAAATGTGAGGAAGAATGAGTGAGGCTGAGGAGTCCTTAATAAAATTTAATTTATATTATGCTAATGCTAAATAATAAATTATTTAAAATTTTTATTGATTTATTTTTCAATAATTTGTAGAATAAAATGTTTTGGTTTTAATGAAGATTTGTTAGTGCTAAAATTTACAAAATTATAAAGGAATTAGGTATAATGGAAAAACTCTTACACAGAATTAAACTTTTGGTAATTTTGTAACTCTATATTATTTCCACATTAAAAATCATGAATATGAATGTGTTGGGTTCTATATTTTATATATACACCGAAATGTGAAGCGAGATACCTTGCTCAGTCAGGCTAATACCAATTGAAAAAAATGAATATATTTTTTTAATGCTATAATACTCTTTTAAACAATATAAACGTTTGTTCAAAAAACGTAACCAATTATCACTAATAACATAACCGGTGCAAAAACATTTTTTTGTATAAAAAGCGTGAAGTAATTTTTTTAAATAATTAAATTTATAATCGGAATAATTTATAAATAATTTTTTATCGTATAAAACCACTATTATGCGTTTTTATATATATTAGGAAACCTAAGTAGCAATGATGAACGATAAACCAAACAATTTCACATGACCCATTAACAAGAGAATTATGGTAAAAGCTTAAGCAGCGCAAAAAGTTCCCACTTTATCTTTCTTTTTTATTTTAAAAAAACTAAAAATTAAAGATTAATTATAGCAATTATTCATCTCTAAGTTATAAGTAAATCGATACATTAGCTTGGATACATTCTTATTTTAAATTTTTATTTAAAATATTAAAAGCCGAGAACTATGATATCAGAAAGAAATATAAATTAAATATAACTTCCTTACCATAACAATAATTATAATTTATTGAATTTATTAAAATATTAAATGATTTTAAAATTAAATTATAATATGGGCATAGTAAACAAAGCTCCTCTTAGAATTTCAATTTGAGTTCTTTGTGATTTAATGGGATTGTCCGAAAAACACTTGGTTTTCGTTCCGCATATAGGAATAATAGACATTTCGAAACCATGTGGTCTAGAGTGCTGGCTATTGCCCAGTACTGCAAACATTTTGGGGTTCCAAGCAAAAAAAATGCAATAGGTTTCTACCCCTTATTTGACCTCTTTAAGAGTTCTGTATCACCAAAATTTGGCTTATGTTTATTCCCTTACATGATGATTGCAGGGTTCCTGTTACGCCTCTGCTTACAAGTGGGAATAAATTATTGCAAAGTATAAATCGAAGTTTTTTTTTATCATTGTTGAGGTGCTGTAAAACCCGATGGCTAACGAGATTGGGGGAAGGGGAGACTATGACAATATTTAACCAATGTCTCAACCTGCGAGAGGAGCTGCATCAGGCCTTTATAGTAAAGGAGCGGAAATAATAGAAAGGAGGTTCAGAAATTCGAGGGTTTAGATAGAAAAAGAATTCGTTACAATGACACATGTGGCACTTTAAAATTTTGGAATACAAGGCCCTGACACCCTTAACAAAACATTTACATAACATACAATTTCAAGTCTTTTTTATAAAATGAAAAGAACTACTTTCATTTATTTTCAAAATTAGCAAATTTGAAAACCTTTTGTTAATAATACTTTAATATATTTTTTGATAATTAATTCTTTTAAAAAAATTTGAAGGGTCTAGATTTTTGATCCGGCCAGGCATAGACCCAAAGTAAAAATTTTTTATAGGTCATGCCCATATTTAATATTTAATATTTAAAACAATTCTCAACCCCATAATGAGTTTCGAAAATTTTGCCCAGGCCCGACCCAAGCCCATATCCAAAAATTTAATTTATCAATGAAAATAAAAAATATTAAAGTGTATTTAAGCAATAATTTCGTTTGCAATATTGAAAAATGAAGGTCTCTGTTCTTGACTGTCCATTCATTAAAATGCATTTTAAATGCGTCATTGACTACAAATCAGCTGATGATACCCCCCTTTTAGTTTCTCATACAAGAATTTAACGCTATCATAGTTTTAACATAAATTATTTTCATGGAAAGCCAAAATGGCGTGTCACGAGCTGGCTTGAATTGAATACACATTTAAATGAATTGATCGTTTCTCTAGCACTATTATATGACATTGACTTCATTCGATCAAGATATTTAGTTCTAAAAAAGCATTGTCACCATTCTAATTTTGTCAGAATTATGATAATTTTAACGGTCCACTCCTTGCCCGATGTGGTTCATTATATCCTATTATTAAAAAACAAATGATATAAAATATGTTATTAAAGATCTTTAACCTGTCAAATAAGTTGTTAAAGCGATAATTTGATAATTTTGGTAACTATTCTTGCCATGATAACATTTTCAACGATATTATTTTTAAAAGCTTAAAATTTAATTTATATTTCTTTTTTTTTTAATTCAAAGATAAAGATAATTTTTAAAAAGAAGATAAATTTACCTAAATTAAATTTAAAAACATTTAATTTTATATAAATTTAAAATAAATTTATTTCAAACTTAAAGGAGGTGGTAGGATCCAAAACTCATAGAATGACGCAAATAAAGAAGAGCTGATACCTTTTCAGTTTCCTAAATTGAAGCTAATGAAAAAAAAGAAATATTGTTTATTCTTTTGACGAGATGGTGCCACAATATGATTAAAATTAAATTTTAAGTGAAAAAACAAAATTTTGTCAATTATTTTCTTACAAAATAGATTGCTAATTTTCTGAATATTAAACAATTAAAATATAGCACTACTATTCCATATAGCTTACCTGTCGAACGCTTATTCAGTGGCGCCAATAATCTTTCATATGGTAAATAATATGTGTTTTAAATATTTTTTATAATGTATATTTGCTGATATTTAAATGAACAAAATTTAAAACATAAAAAAACATTGTGTCCAAAATGTATTGATTTTTAGTTTATATAATAAATATGTATTTCTATCTCTAATTGAATGATTAATTGCTGTTAATTATTCTCATATCAAGTAAAAACGTTAGGGATTACGAGAGTCGAATAAACTCCTACAATATTTTATGAGAAAGGTCTAAATTAACTGAAAATGACTTTGAACGCTTTAAATTATAAGTACTAATGACATAGCTGTATCACATAAAATATAATATATACTTGCTAATTTTAACAGACATTTACTATAAAAAAAGTTTAAGACACTTTCAATATTAATAATTACCTTATCTTCTTCCATTTATATAATAATTAAATTATATGATAAATATAATAATTAAATTATATTATAAATATAATATTTATAATACATGATATGCTTTATATCAAATTAATTTATAAATATATTAATATAAATTCTCTTAAAATGATAAACTTTTTCATAATTGTGTAAATTAGATTTTAAAAAAATCGTTATTCTATATAATACCTATTATTAAAAAATGATATCGAATGATAAAAATCTCGTAGTTATATTTTTTTAAAAAATCCAATTTCCTTTTTCAAAAATAATATTAATAATTTCTGATTAAAATCGTTAAAAATGGTTATAGGTAATCAAATTTATATATATTGATCGAAGAAATATAATTATGATTGATATGCAAATGAAATGACTTTATAAAATTATGAAAATGTATGACACACACAGGCAATATAGGAATATATATTTTTTAAAGAAAATCTGAATTTTTGTTGAGGTCAACACATCGCCCCATATCCCAAACTTTTTGCTTAACACAGGTTAATCCTTTTTGGCAATTTCCTTGTTGATAATCTTCTCCACAACTTTCACCTATTTTCTATTAAATCATTTAAAAAATTTAATTAACTAGCTGTCAGTGAAAGGAACATGGCCTGGCTCTTGGTCCGATATATAAAGACCTGATTGAATCCTAAAAATTAACTTATTGTCGTTCTTTATACGAATCCGATTTTTATAATGTATTTTTTTATATTTTTACACCGAAGGTCTCGAATACGTGACCAAGCTGTGATTCTTAAATAAGATCGACCCGCCCATTTATTACAGTTAATTAAATGCTTAATTTGTTATGTAAAATATATGTTAGCAGGATATATATATTGCAACCTTATATATCCAAATGTGTGATTAAAAAACTACTGTAAATAATTTATTTGTCTTATTTACCTTATCGATCATGATAATACACTTTCCAGGATTTTGCAAATTTAATAGATTTAATTGGCACATGAGATCTTTGCCACATCGACCATAGATTTGATCCATGCCTCCGCATGATTCCTTTAGATCCTAAAATATAAAAATGTTTTAAGATGAAAATTTAATAAATAAAAAGATTATTAGTCTAATTGCCTATCTTGTACTGTATAAATTAGAATGGGGACTCCCACCACCTTATTGCTATCAAATTGTTAGATTTAAGGACATAATTGAATTCCATTTAAATCACTTAACTTTCCCACATACTTTGCAACAAAAGCAAACGTCCCAAACCAAACCACGGGTACAGTTTTGAGGTTGTTCTTTACCTAAGCATCTTCCGTTTAATGACTCGTTCCAACATGGACATGATAATGATTCTGAACTGGAATAATTTAGGATATTTGAAGGAATTGTTTTTGTAAAAATTATTTAAAAAAAATTGTATATTTTTATCTTTATTAAAAATATACAACACTAATAAGATCAACTTCTAAAACATTAACTGGGTCATAACCGTAATCTTTAAATGCCAGTTAATTTCATTTACCCCCTCCGCCTTTCACAACCCTTGAGGGCCCTTGCCCATACAAAAACTTTTGATTGGTTATGATGAATTAAATATTAATATATTTTATTTTTATACGCAAAATAGTATTACAGATTGATTTTCTTCTCTTT